CAGCCGGCTACGAACCTGGTCGGCATCCTTGTCAAGTGCGTAATATGATGTCCTGGCTCCTCTTTTTGTTTGGAGGAGAGACTTTTAACGAGAATCCACTGGCACATGGGAAGGACATGGGAACTAATGAATAGTAGTCCTCATGGGTAAAGCCTGGCGGAAGTTAAGAAGAACCCGCACGCCATTCTGATTTGCTGCACTGCACTCAGCCATAATCCGACACGCACCGAGGAGAAACAAGTCTAATTTCTGCAAACTAATCACATTTGCCAGAGGTTGCCAAACCTTCTTCAACCCCACTCAATCCTTCCTCAACAGCACAAAGCGGTGGTTGTTATTACGGAAGTAAGATATTCACTCCTTTTGGACGTCAAGAAGCATGACATCGCCCGTGTGACTCTTGCTGTTTTAGCCAGATTAACTGTAATGCAGTCGCTTTCACCTGCCCTTTTGCCTTGAAATGATTTTCTTCCTCTCAGCCTTTTTTGTATTTATCATTCTTTGATGGTTTGGTGGTGGTGATAAATGATTAGTTGGTGGAAAGTGGAGACGGTATTTCCTGTTTCGTGACATGTAAATTCACAATACATGAATGATACAAAGTCGTCGGCCGAAGGATGGAATCAAGATATGTATGACTCCCAAATAAGAAAGAGGCAGGAAAAAAAAAAAAAAAAAAAAAAAAAAAAAAAAGAAAAAAAAAAAAAAAAAAAAAAAAAAAAAAAGGAAAGGAGAAAAAAGAAAAATAATCCAAGAGAAAGAGGAAATAGCCATTCTCATACCTTCTGTACGCGACCAGATAAGAAAAGCACGAAACGTCGGAAGTCGGCGGTCGCAAACGGAAATCAGCCAGGATGAAGTGTGATCTGAATGCAGGTGCTTCAGGGCTGGTGTCAGGGCGTTGGGCAACCACCACTTCTCAGTCGCTAGTTGTCTCCTGGGCACCACGACGGCCCGCCCCGACTCCCGCCGATCTCATGCATAAAGCGTAGTGTGGCATGCTATCAAAGTCGTAATATCATCACTGGTGACGACAATAATGCCACCTTTCGTACGCATTGCATAATCTAATCATGTCGAAGGAAAAGTCTGACGGCTTTTGCTTTTGTTATCTGACCGTGATCGTCTAAGACTGGAGCCTCATAACGTTTTACCAACCCCTCCACTTTACCACGTCTATTTTCACCCAAGAATTTTTTTTTCCTCTTCCCCGCCTTTCTCCTCTTTGAACAGCCAGATATGGCCCAGCAACCTCTGGTGAAGTGAATGCAGAGATATGAACTTGAAATTCAGAACCTCTGAGACGCCACCGATGGCAATCCTCAGTGTAAATTCTGACTACTTGAGAGAGCCGAGTGTAACCCCAAGGTGACAGTACCCAAGTTGACAACAGTGCAACTTAAGTAGGCGCTGCATGCAGAATAGTACTTCCATGCGTCCTGCTCCACACAGTCGACGGTCGCTGTCAGCCTCACTTTGTCATGACCTTACCAATATCGAGATGGAGAATGAATGATAATGGTTTCCAACCTGGTTGAGATACTCTGAACGCAATGTTTCCGTACCGTACAGGAAAAACCAAGCCAGCCTACGCAAACATGGTATTACGGTGACGGTAAGTTACACAGCATGAAACTACTTCAGAGTATTGTATGTATGTACATACTCGTCTTTGCGCTGCCCTCTTCATGGTCTATTAATCCCTATATTTTGCCACGTTTTCTTCTTCTCTGATCCTATCGGCTGCTTGCATTTCCGTCCGCGGCTTTCCGTTGACACCAGAATCCACCCCGTAGAAAACTGTGGGCTTCAATGTCTGGTGTCGCCCTCGGTATCTCCGAAAAACTGCTCCACCGCGACCAACGTCGACTCGCCTTGGCTGGCGAGAGATCGCGTGGCTCCAAGGATGACGAAATTAAGCACTGGGTCGGAGATCATAATTCATCTTCCGTCCGGAGGCTGGGGTTGAGGCGCCCTTGCTAATGTGCATATCTTCCTGCATATGTATGGACGGATATATCAAGGAGAGTAAGAAGAAACAGTGAGTAGTTGAACTGCCTTGGTTAGGTTCCCGTTGGTGTCCGAATGGCTGACCAAGCGGAAACGGTTGTCAACAAGTAGTATAGCGCTGGCGGAGAAAAAGAAAAATAATCATGCGGCCTGTCACTGATCATCGATCAGCCCGCATACAATTTCAGTCACGTGATGGCAACTGGCCTATGAGGGCGAGGAGCATCCCAGACTATCTGTACTTTATCTGTCGCTTTTGGCGGGCGTGGCACGCGTGGAAACACTTGGTGATAGGCTAGTGGCGGATAAACAGGGCACTAACCTCCCTGGTTTAGTTTGGTGGCTTGGTTAGTAAGGGAAAGGCAGGGTAGAAAAAGAAAAGGAGAAACTCCAACCACGCTTGTCTGTGCTCTCTTCGGGCACTAGGGTGTGTGTAGTATCTGCGTGTGCGCAAGCGCTGTCTTCTCAAATGACGTGGCGAAACGAGGAGCAAAACATTGTCAGATAATCCTGTTGGGCTTACTTGTTCGCCTGGTCACATTTCCGACTTTGGTAGGACTAGTGATTTCTGTGCCGGTTGTACTCTGTACCTGGACTTCCAACGCCTCCAGTGGCAGTTCCTGTTGTCTTGTTTCGAGTCATGACTCTAGCTAATGCTGTGAATTGACACTATAATGTGATGACCCAACATATGAGCGTGACACGCTGTACGAGTTACTCGGTTGTACATCGACCTCCTCTATCACGCGACAGAATGTTAGGTTTGAAATGTGGTGGATGCCTGACTTTGTAGGGATGTCTCATAATCAGTTGACTATTGCTCCTTCTAGTCATCAAGACGAAGTGGCGATAAGTCAAACAAAAGGGGAGTGAAAAAATCTTTGAAGAATTTTTTTTTAAAAAAAAATAAAAAATAAAAAAGTAAAGCCTGAACATTTGTACTGTGTAGGCTTTTACCCTAGCTAAGTAATCAGTGCGATTAGGTCGCTCAGTGATCAGCTCTCCCCACAAGGACTGGCGATCCGGAAATTTTGAGCCTGGAAATTAGCTAACTTTAAATAACGGGGCCAGGGCTTCCACTACGCAAGAGATGAGAATCGTGGGCGATTGAATAAGGCTATCTAATAGTCTGGCGCATAGCCGCGCTCCAAGATGCGGATGGACCGTTCTTCTGTCAATGGTATGCAAGTAAGTTCTAGACACGGATTGGAGTAATATCTTCGGACTTGGCCTTGAGCAAATCACACCTTAATGCAGTATCTCGAGGAAAAAGAACTTAGATGTATCACATTTATTGAATCGTGTGTCCGTATCGCGGCCGAAACTTATATGAAGTCGGGATGGGATGGAGTATTGCTGTTGGGTGCCAGACAGATGGTCTAGAGAAGTATGAACCTTGTCTTTGGCCGATCACGAGTTAGCCAAATAGTAGCGCCATGTTAGCACTTTGTTAATCATCCTGGCTGCTACTGGCTCGTCGAATGTAAATTCCGGAGGGCTACATCTTTTTATCATATTTAATATAGGCTCATAGATCCTGACATCATTAAATATCTTTTCATTGAAACTACTCCTGGCTTTATGCGATAGTATCTACCTGTTCCCTCTTATCGTGACATCATCCGGGTAATGCATCGATATGTCAAGCTGATTAAAAAAAAAAAAACCTATGTGTATATATATATACATATATCAAAATACCGATATTGGTTCGAAAGACCAGACCTATTCAGTTTAATCGTGCCTTCGTTATATATTCCCTCTCCATTTGCTATTGTGACAATAGGTCGGCTCTGGGGTGGTTTCCGATCCTAAAGATCATCCTTAACGGTACAAGGACGAGTATGTTTGATGCAAAGTGTGAATGAAACAAAGCAAGCAGAAGTAAAATTCCAAATCGTTTATGACATATAACTTGACTACATAATGATACAACAAAGAAAGAAGACTAATGCCAGATTATTCCTTGCTTGTATGGTTCCTCAATCCAGCAGAAGACCGCAAAAAGGGAAGGAAATGCCGGCATCCAGTTGACAGAGAAGACAGTGATCGTCCCTGAACCCAAATAAGGAAATTCGGGGGCCATGGATGAGCGCGCCTATTGAACGGAAACTTCCGCTAGGATCTTGCCGAGTCAAATCACCATTGATCATTGACTCGCACAAAGTTCATGGCTTGCATGGACTCTAGCCAGACGAGGACAGCTGTACAGTATGCATCCCCCTTAGGTAATTCTCTGTCACTTCCTCTGGAGGATTGCAAACTATCAGCCGAGGGGGCACAGGTCAGAACGAAAATGGGGTTGGCTCCGAGGTGACAGAATAGTTTGTAACAAAAACGATACCCACTCTGTTTTACCAGCGTAGAGTGGAACGATGTTTGGGCATTGATGCAGAGATGAAGCCTGTTCCACGGGACGAGGGACGCATGGACGCATGAGGACCATGGACGAATTTGCACGCGTGCAGGAGTGGATATCACAGGATGGGCAGCGCCATGGGGCTAACGGCACGTCCGACGGGCCGGACTGCGGCACGCGGCCAGCAGGCCAGCAGGCCATTATAATATGCACGTCAATATTGTAAAGGACTAGAATTCATGACCCTGTTGAGATGATGAGCAATTGACACGAAAGCCGCCATAATTGGGGGACGAGAAGTAGCGGTAAAGAAAACTCCGAGACTAGCTATGTACATCTCCTTAGCTCAGCTTGGTAAAAGGTATTGTATGAAATCTACAGGAAACCTTATCAAAGAGGATAAGCGATTGCTCTTTCCCACAGACAGGTTGTATGACATGAGCCTCCCCGAGTCAAAGACCAGTAACAAAGAGCTAACGGCCCACCCTCCGGCCTCCATGAGAAAACGGTTACAAACCAACGCCAAAGGCTAGAAGTCAAAAGTTTCCAAGCATGTAAAGCTCACGGTCGACTACATGCAAAAGCCACTTTTAGGGAAAAGAGAACAAGAAAAAAAAAAAAAAGAAGAAAAAAGCGAGGGGCATAGAAAACAACTAAGAAAAATACCCCACAGTCTTCAAATATACACCTACATTGTGACAGACAACATGCTATCATTCATCCCAAGAAGATACCAAATTTAGTCTGTACTTTCCGACCCGGAACTGGCATCCATATCCTCTGGATCAGGCATGACGACGCTGTTGAGGTACGTAACCTATCAAGTGATGACATATCCTGTCAGTAAAAGTTATCACATAAAAAGACACTCCAAGTGACCCCTGTCATCTCCAGCACAATTGGCTAAATGGTGGGTATCATTATATCCGAGACTACACCGCTGAAGTGGCTGGAGAGGAGAAGAGGGGAACGGGGCGAAAGGGCCCGTATTCGATACCGGTGCTAGGATCCAATAGATGCAAATGCGGGCAAGCAAAGAGGGAAAGCCAAACGACGGCTACACGACGATGGCGTTGGGATGGGTTGGCTTACGAAAGGTTCCATGATACCAATAAGAGCTGCAATTTTGTCCTGTGCGTTGGGACTCATAAGCTCTTCATCGGCTAGAGGCCTGCCGATGGTGAAACTGCGCAAGCGGAGCAGTCGAATATTTTCATTGTCCAAGCCGTAGCCCTGGGTAAGGAAAATATTTTGTTAGCATTGTAATTGGACAACACCGAAGACCCGCCGGGTTAAAGCTGATGGTGAACCATGGAATCAGATGAGACGGTGTAGAAAAGTTTTCGAGACCAAAACACGCTGTGGGACACCAGAGGAATTTCCGTGCTAGGCCGAAGAACAGTAATGACGTTGAACCCAAAAGCAAACAGGAAAAGCCCCAGGGACTTGTGTGGGAAAAGGGCGCGACCCAGACGGGTAGACCAGTCGGGATCGCCCGTCCGCGCTTGCTGCGCTTGCACCCATCAACACTGGCCTCTAGACTTGCTATCACGAAAGGGCGTTGACGCCCACAGGGCAACGAGTCCTTTAGCGAATAGTCACTGAACTAGATCATCCTACCGAGATGATTTTCTAATTCAATTTATGAGGTTGAAGACACTGATCGTTTGCCGACGAGCAATCCTAATCGCGATCCCACGTCCATGGCGACCGCCAGGGCTTCACAGAAGCTGCATCTGGGCACCTCAATCATCAACCTATGTGCCAAGTTGACTCGTTTAGCTCCATTTAGGTTCAGAAACAGGACTTCTGCTGGAGACCTGCGTCATTTGTGATGAAAACTAACGAGCAGCAGGCGCCAATTTTAGTGACGAGACGCGACCGAGTCGCCTTCCAATCTCGAGAATGGGTGTACGTGTCTCATCAACAAACGATTTGATGCAATCAGACCGGCATAGGCGATAGGATAAAAACAGGAAGGTCACGAGTCTCTTTGAGCTGTGGAGAAATGACCGAAAAACAGAGTTGCCTACCTTGGGTTTGGTCTTGAGGGCGCTTTCTTGATTTTGGTTGACAAAAGCCTCGACAGCCTTCTCTTCATCAGGTACCCCATTAAAAATTTCGCGGCGCATTCCTTCCTCTCCTAAGACTGCCTTCAAGCGATGCGAATTCCTGTCAATATCCTCTCGCATAAGCGCAAGTTTGTCCGCCTCTGGATGCCAGAGACCTGAACCTAAGCCCACCCGAGACATGTCATTAGCACACATACTTTCGCCGCCGATGATTCAGTTGGATATAAGATGTCGTGCGACGTCCCTTTGTTCTAGGCTTAGAACGTTCGGCCCACAACGAGATGTGCACAACATGGAAGGGGGCCTTAATCGTGACATGCGGCTCCAGAAGAGGTTGAGGTACATGCCCTCTAAACCGTGCAACATCATATTTGGAGGTAATTGGCTCATGGTTTTTCGAACACATGAAAATATTTTGAAATGTTCTCTTAGTGTTACTCACCGACAAAACAGGACTGAGGTTGACAGTGGACATAATAGGCAGCGTAAGGGCCCTTTTTGCCTGTACGGGACCTATGGAGTCATTCAATTGACTGCTTTTCTTTTAGTATTGGTTTTTCACCTACCAGGCAGCTGAGAAGTGTGTCTGTTCAAGCCCGACTGTTAGCCTGGCGATACAATCCAGTACCCGCAAGGGATGATCACTAGATGTGAAGATGCTCAAAGTTTAAACGTACTTTATAAGGAGTAGGATTTTTGCTGAACCGAATGTCCCTATGTATACGGAATACCTGGATCAACGCACATGTTAATGCAGCCATCTCTTTTGGAACTCTTCATTGCCATTTTAACTACTAGTACTCACCAGGTCCTTAACAGGCAACTCAGGAATTGTGCTATCCATCTCTGAAATCTTCTCGGTGAGGCTTTCAACAAAGCTCTCCCAATCTTTTTTAGAGGCACGGTAGTCCGCATCGTGCGCTGTCAAAGGTGATCATAGTTAGCTGTGATTAAAAATCCTGATTTCCTCTGCGTGATATCGTGTTACCTTTGAGCCAAGCTCTTTCATTGTTCTCCGCCAAGTCCACAAGAAAGAGGAAGGTGTTGGGATGCAAGGTATGCTCTTGGTAGGGCACAATACCTGCATCCCTTGCTTTGGGTTTCTTGATGAAGACCTCTTTTCCAGGTCCAAGGCCGGTTCTGACACCTTCCTTCCACAACTGCTTATCTCTCAATGCTTCGTTCATATCATCTTCTGCAATACTGCCGGATTTCTTTCTGGAGCCTTCTGTACCTCCCTTGTTGCTTTCTAGGCTCTTTCGTGGTCTCCCGGGTTTTCTTCTTGGATTTTTTGTCGCCTCACTAGCTGTGGGAAATGCGACTGACTCCGCATCCTCCGATGCGGAGTCGTCGTAGTTGGAGGGGGAATCCTCCGGCGAGGAGCCATTGTCGAAGTCAGTTTCTGAATCATCTGAACGCTCTTCTTGGAAGTATCTGCTTTTCTTCGAGGTGGATCTGATGGGCCTTCCAGTGGTAGTAGTGGTGATGTCGGACTTTTGTCTTTTAGGTCCTGTCTTGGAGGCAGTGGGGAGTCTGTCAGACGCGCGCCTTTTTGGTACTGGCGCTGGTGCTGCCGCCGACGCGGGAACGGCCCGAGACGATCGACGAGGCATAGCAAGAGAAAGGTTTCCGGTTTTTCCTCCGTTTGTAAGGGAAAACGTAAATTGAAGCTGTTACTTGTAGACACAATTAGTTATGCAAGATTTGAGCGGACAAACTTGTAGGAGAGATCTGGGAGGTATAGTATTTAATAAGCTCCCGCGGCAGCTTGTAAGCTTCTTGACCAAACTATGGGGGTCGTTAGTGACTGATAGACTTTCAGACGGTTCAGAAGGGACCGGGAATGCGACCAGGAGGTTGGTAACTTCTGGGGCGGTTTTCGCGTGGGAAAGCGGGCAATTCTTTGCCTCCCGCAACCACTAAAGTTAGTGCGGTCGTCAAAACGTCGTCACTCTCGGAATGAAACCAGTTCAGGATTTGTCGGGCTAAGAACAAAACATTCACTTGTTGTATTGTATATCTTCTGGTGCTCTTCTGGCTCTATCGAGCTTGGTTTTTGTCTAATATTTATTTGGCCCACCTGTTTCACCCAAAGATATTAGCCGATTAGCCTCATTCGTTTTCCAAACAGCAGTACAGGTTTCCGTATCTTTCCCTTAACCAACCTGTTTCTATCCCTTGCTCAACAACAACTCCACATAGGGAAAAAAGAAAAAAAAGGTACCCATGAGTGAAGTCGAAGAAAGCGCGATACCCGAGGTGTTTGAATCTCGCAAGCGTAAAATTCTTGCAGAACTCTCCCTTCCCGACGCAGAGTACACAGACCTCTCGCCCAAGGGGTCTGTCGATGAGGGTATTCGGGACCTAATCCATGAAATTAATACTCACCCAGGCTTAGTTACCACCAGTAGCTGCGCGGGGCGTATCAGCGTGTTCCTAGAGGGGCGGAAGAAGCAGCCGAAGCCGCATGAGGAGCAAGAAAGACAGTTTGTAGCCTCGGGGGGTAAAGGTGCTGGGAAATGGCTGTATGTTTCTCACGATCCTTTGCAAGGCTATGGCGCACCATGTGGCAGCAATAGTTCTGAAAGAGCCAGCCATAAAGGGAATTCGTTGCATGAGTTGTTTGGAATGGTCCCTGGAGATGGTAAACCACCCGGGCTGAACAAACAAGGAAAAGCCCCGCGTCTTGTGCGCTTCCATTTCGAGCCTCTGGTACGTTAGTCCAATCCTGTGTTCTTTGTCTCTTCGAAAAAGTGCGTTTGTCCTTAGTATGATTTACTTTATAGCAAAGCTTGCGTTTCTTTGTTTGCTTGAACATATGTCTCGTTCTTTTGTTCCCTTAAGGTTAAAGCTTAGCCTCTATTGTTGCTGGCCTGTACTACCCGTTTGGTACTGGGATTTGAAAATGGACTGGCTCAGGCACTAATTTGCTGCATTCGAGTACTGAGAACGCTTTCCACAGATTCTTCATATAATGACAGCAACGCTACAACATGCTCACCCTGTATTATCTGCCGCCTCAAGCTCTGGTTTCCGCGAAAGTGGGCTACAGAGTTTGCGCTGTATGGAGGGTGATGAAGGTCCTAGTCCGATCGTCGCCGTGCGCTCTGCGGGTTTATCCCTGGAGTCAGTGATAGGATACTGTGAAGATAGCGACACTGACGATGCGACAGCAACCGACGAACCAGTCCTCCGCAGCCTCGTAACAGAGGAGTATCTGCAAATGTTGGTTGCAATCGCAAATGAAAGGTTCTCAATCAACACAGAACGAAAAGAAAGATTCCGAGAGAATTTGCTAGTTTTGTACTCTGCAAATCGAGGACCAAAGACGAACAAGAAAGCCAAATCTCCCGGATGGGAGGATGCCCAGACACGACGAGAGAGGATGAGAGCTGAGGGGCTGATGAGACAGAAACTTCTCCAGGACCAGGCGAAAGACAATGAAGTTCGAGATACGCTGCAAGCTACTAAAAAACCGTGGCTGGACGGAATCATAGAAACAGAATACCATTAAATTCGACTAATAGCGTTATCCATATCGGCCTTCCTTGGCATGATTTTCCCGTCACGAAGGACATTATGAATCGATAAAACCTTAGACGAACGCTGGAGAAAATGACAATGCAACAGAATAAAAAAAAAGAGACAAAAGAAGTGAACTGAAAAGCTCTCGACTTCGAACCTCATGGTGTAAGACTAGGTCTCATGTCATGAATATGACAAGAGCCGATTAAAACCTAGAGGAACAATGGAAAGGAGAATGAAAGTACAAGCAAAACTAAGAAAAGGAGAGACAAAGCATGACAAAAACGTGCTTCCTGCGCCGGCCCAAATCTGCCCAATTATCCTATTCAAGTCAGACCTAGTCAATGCGAATGTTGCTGTCTCTTCAGCTGATCGATGACAATTTATCGAGTGCGGTATCCCTGAATACAAGGATAATGCAACGCCAGATGTCCTGAGTGAGTAGGAGCTGAACGCAAATATAAGTGGATTGATGAATCTTGAAAAAGCCATGGGATGTGTAAACAAGACCGGGGAATTAGTTGAAATATTGCCATAGAATGACAGATAGACCAGATAGCGACATTTCAACCCCAAAATCCAACGTGCAGCCGAAGATTAAACACCCGAAGGTGTGAGATTACCTGGAGAGGACTTTGTGTTTCGATGGCCAAAATGGAAACCTTCCCTTGCTGTGCCGGGGGGGAATATGAGAAGCCTACGGGTCCAAGGACTTTGATCGCTGTCATTGAATGGACGTGGGGTTTCATCCCCCGCTTCCCGCTCCGGACGATAAGATGGGCCAGTCTCAGTCACACGGCGCGATGGAGTGGCGAATATATCAAGCCTGGAGGATGTTTGGACACCTAGACCTTCTTCAGAGCTAGCAACTGAGCCACTGAGGGTGCGTCGAGTGTCATGTCTGGTTGACGACGAGGGTCCCGCAGCTGCCAGTCTAGCCTTGACTTCATTATCCTTGGTGACCCATCCAGTGAGGACAAGATTGCCTAGTATTTGCATCTCAATTCTAACAGCTATTTCCCAGAGGACCGTTCTACTGATATTTGCGGGCCATTCAAACCACACACGACCGTAGGGAGAGCGAAGATCATCCCTATCCTGCGGGAAAGTGTTCGTCAGGTGGGGGATCCCATGATCGGGGATCGTTCCCCTAGATATCAAGTTCGCATAATACTGGAAGAATGACAGATAGGTGTCAATTGTCACGAAAAAGGAAGAAAGTTGAATAGTCTGGAGTGGGCTCCAATAAAAATGGTCAAGATGCTTACCGTGAGTGTACCCTTGTTGAAGTCGGGCAACTGCACTAGAGTGTCGAACGGAAACCACTTGCTGATATCTGGAAACCTAGCGATCTCTGGTGCGAGGTTAGAATTTACACACAGAGTATATTTCTGGCGTTCATTGAAGGCTGGACAATTAAATCCAGCATAAAGAAGATCTCTCAACAGATTTTGGTCCAGGCCCATGGTTTGAGTTCTGTCAATGCGGGATGCAAGAGATATCAAGTGCCGATTCGTCAGCTCAAATAGTTGATTGCGATCATCGACCGTGTACAACCTTGTGGCGTACCATGGATACTATATACTATGTGAGAAACCATTTGCTTAGTCAATCGGTGGTGACATAATACCTTGTAAAGCGTGCTGATTGTCGACTCATAGGTGCGTTGAGGGCATTTGACACTGAAAGGCGACTAAAGGGCGCTCAACATGTTAGTCATTTTCAGATGATGTGCGCGAGTAGTTCACTTACACGGTGAGGAATTTCAGCATGACGAATAGCCCCAACGATCTCTTCACTAGTAATGAAGCCAGAAAAGCCTGTGGAGTATGGATCAGTGTTTGGAAGTTCTTGAGGCATACCATCTTCCCAGGAGATGCACTTGGCCCTCGGAAAGAGATCTTTCAAGAGCGCATCTTGGTTACTGTACTCCACATCTACACGGCGAAGACCAAGACGGGGTGCTCGGCCAGTCTCATAGATGCTGTTAACTCGATCAACTGTTCTCTGGGCTGCTTCCGGAGTTTCAGTTTCAACGAAACAGTCCATAGTTTTCGCGGTTGAGCGCTCCATTATAATATGGATTGGGCATCCTTTGATAAGGCGCGCTGGGCGCCCTACAAATTGCGCGATCTCATTTCTGGTGACCGAATAAGGAATCTTCACACTTATTAGTAGTATCCTTTATAGGAAGCTAAGTTCACTTACGTTTGATATCTTGACAACGCCCCAGTGTGGTGGCCGACGAGTATGCACAGAACTGCCAATAGGCATCTCCTCCCTCATAGCAACTGTGCTAAACGGTTTGTTCAGGTCTGGGATCTGCTCAAAGTTTCCTGGTTGCTCCTGAACTTCGGCTCTCATAGGCTGAGGAGCCACGGCACCTTCAGTGGGGTAGAATGTAGGAGAGAGAAGCCCTGGAGGCCCATAATGGAACGGATGCTGGGGCACTGGGGCAGGGAGTGGACTATGTACAGCTCGTAGCTGGCTAAAAGGATGAGGATTCCGAGGGGTTGGAGTTGGGGTTTGTGCAGTGTCATAGGGATAATATCCGCCTGGAGCTTCTCCCATAGAAGGAAGATGGGCGTATAAACCTCCTAGACTCGGAAACTGCCCCTGTTGATGAGGCGTTCTAGAAGGACCCAGCTGGGGTGTCTGGGGAGGCTGCATTATGGTGCCTTCACGAGCTCGATAGGGACCATGATATGGGCCAGGAGAGTCGTGTCCCGTGAAGGGGTCAACTGGGCGCCTGGTAGCCATCAGAAAGGAGTTGGAAGAACAGTATGATAGTAAGAGGTGGTGAGAAAGATGATTATGATCCGTGTTAGGAGTGAAAAGCGTGAGGATCTCAACTATGACAGCGCCGAGAGCCTTGGTTGGGAGTGCACGGCAACACATAGAATTCACTTGTGTTTCATGTGTATGTTTATCTCAGTTATTGCCGACTAATCGAATATTCGATTAGTCGTGATGAGTGGTATGGAAAATAAGATGGGGCCTTCATTGGTTTCTGTATAAACAGTTAGTATGCCCTAACCAAGGGAGGCAGGAAAGGAGAAGTAGAAAATAACTAGGACAATAGAAAAAGATGTAAGATGTGAACATTATGTGTCTATTCTCTCAAAACTATAGACTATAGAGTCAGTCATGAACTAATAAGTAAAAAAGATAACAGGCTATATACAATGGTAAGTGTTTTCTATAACAAACAATCAAACAATGAAGTTATACAAGTCTACTTAGGGCGAATAGAGACTGTTACTACTTTATCAGAGTGCCGCTTGAAAATAACACTATACTTCCCAACCATAGAAGAATACATGTAGCAAGATAGACAAATAACCCCAGCATGCCTTCAAGAACGTGCGCTTAGGATATAAGAGGGTCGTATAACTACCTACCCATTATGATTATAGTAGGAAGGTGGTTACTTGCTAAGTTTTAGGTTGATGAATAACGGAGCATATCTGCACTATAGATATAAGATCCATAATGGTGGAATAATATTGTAATTATTTACATAGCGTAAATGAATTGCTAAAAAAACATAGTGGTCTCGAATGCTTGTTACTAGTATGGTTGTACTTCGCTTATACCAAGATCTACTGTCGAGTGTAAGTTGCGAGAAGCCCACCATACATTGAAACTCCAAATGACTTCAAGATCTAGGGAAGGGAACAAATCATTGAGCGAAGCAGAGTTAGCCCCCATAACCAGCCTAGATCGCCTGTACAATACTCGCTATTGGATAAAATGTGGAGGTCATGGATATATCACGAACCATAAAATGAACATTATGAGCAAGAATTTAGTCAAACTATGGGTTGTTGGTTAATTTGATAGTGTTCAGAAGACAGGGAGCGTCATTAGGTGGGTCCTTACAGGTGTCAAGAAAGACTCAGCGACGAATCGCGCACGGGCATTCAACTGTGTATTGTCAATACTACTATTACACGCGGGTATACCGTGGAGAAGAGGGTACATACGAAAAGCTTCATCTCGGATATCTCTTTATCGACTTCCTCCATAAATTGGATAATGAAATCAACTAGCTTGTGCTTGAGCATCTCTTCTACGTTTCGGTTCGTTATTAGAAACGAGATATCATAACCCTATTGACTTATTAGCGTACTGTATCCACAGATGCGGTAGGTACGTTAAGATGCCTGACCTTTACTGGCTTCCGTCGCAAGATGAAGAAAGATTCGGCCCTCTGCGTCAAAAACCGGGTAAACTTGTGGACCAAAACTGTATATAATTGTTAGTATCTAGCACCTATGCATAACCTGATTGTTATGACAATATCGAATAGAAGTAAGTTTCCGGATGGAGAGTAATACTATGTTCAATCTCGTCCGCTTGTTTAATTCTAATGCTGACACGGACACTGTTCACACTAGGTTCGATGAGGACTTTCTCATTTTCGTTACGAGAGACGGTAAGCGGGTTGAGAAGGAGTTCAGGAGAGCTTTGGGCCTCAATTTCAGGTACATTATGTCTCTCGGACGTCTGGGAAGCGAAGTTCGAAACCGCAAGCGCGGAGGTGAGAGAGGCTCGGACACATTGGAGATATGGACGCAATGATTGAGACTTCAATTGTTAGCGATCAATTGTCAGCTTCGGATTGACCTAGCTCACCATATTGGAAGTGTGACGTATACTGGGGTCTCCGTTGTTACTCCGCTGGTAAGTCCATCAACAACTTAATTTGCGTGAGTGTAAATCAGGCCAAAAACCCACAGGTCAAGAATTCTAAGGCTTTATGATTTATGTTTATATTCAGGCCAGGAAGCAAGCCTAGGAATAGATGTAGGTGTCAAGTGCCAGCTTCAGGAGCCACAGGCGGCGGTCCCGCTAAGGCCGCGATGTTGCCTGTTTGCTTTGTTTGCATTCTCTGCCCCACGCCTCCCCGAAGCGTTAACAGATGATGATGCTCTTGTTTATGCGTCACTTTCATCAAGCGCTTTCTGAGATTACACTCAAAAATAAAGACAAAATGGCGTCTATACCAGGTAACGACCCTATTACTCTTCTATATGAATCTGATATTTTCGAAAGCTTCTAACTCATAGACCCCAGTTATCGTGAAGCACCAGGGCAAACGTCATGAGGTCGAGCTTGATCTATCCTCGAACGGTGAAACGCTTAAGTACCAATTATATTCCCTCACCGGCGTGGAACCCGAACGACAGAAAATTCTGGTCAAAGGAGGACAACTTAAGGATGAGACTCCATTGTCCTCGCTCAACGCCAAATCAGGCCAGACATTCATGATGATGGGCACACCATCTGGAGGCCAAGGATCCGGGGATTTGGGTCGCCCGAAAGAAGCAGTGAAGTTCCTGGAGGATATGACGGAAGCTGAAGCTGCAAGAGCAGAGGGAGCTACGCCTGCTGGCCTTCAGAACCTTGGCAATACCTGCTACCTCAACTCTACGCTGCAGACATTGAGGAGTGTTCCCGAGCTCCAGCAGGAGCTTCTGAGATATCATCCTTCGGCAGGTGCTGGTGGAGCATCAAACCTCTCGAATCTCAGCAATTTTGGTCTTGGTGGCCTCGGCGCCTCAATGGACCTTACGGCTTCTTTGCGGGACCTATTCAAGCAAATGTCCGAAACGCAGGAGGGGTTTCCGCCTCTTATGTTCCTTAATGCTTTGAGGAATGTGTTCCCTCAGTTCGCTCAGAGGGATCGAAACGGCCATGGTTATGCCCAGCAAGATGCTGAAGAGGCATGGTCTCAAATTGTTACCCAACTGCGGAACAAGCTGATGATCAAGGAGGGTGAAGGTGAATCTAGCAATGAAGTATCTTTTGTGGATAAATACCTTGCTGGAAGGTTTGAGTCTGTTACTGAATGTGATGAGCCAGGAGCGAAAGAGGCTGGCGAGCAACCCACCCCAAGCTCGGACATCTTCTACAAGCTTGATTGTCACATCGGTAAAGAAACAAACCATTTGCATGATGGCATAAAAGCCGGTCTTGAAGAGAAGATTGAAAAGCGTTCCCCTACTCTAGACCGTGATGCCATTTACACAAAGCGTTCAAGCATCGCTCGATTGCCCAAATACTTGACTGTGCACTTCGTCCGTTTCTTTTGGAAGCGCGAAACCCAGAAGAAGGCCAAGATCATGCGTAAGGTTACATTCCCTGCCGAGCTGGATGCGGTAGACTTCTGTACAGATGAGCTCAAAAAGGAGCTTATCCCTATTCGAGACAAAGTACGGGAGATCCGAAAGGAAGAACTCGATGTTGAGCGTGCTCGCAAGCGCCAGAAGCTTGCCCATCAGCGGGATGAAGAGAAGAAAACTGAAGCGGAATCTGAGTCTTTGGAGCCAATGCAGAAGAAGAAAGCTGCCGAAGAACGCAAAGATGCATCAAAGGGTACCGAGAAGGATGATGATTCCGCAATGACTGACATCTTTAAGTCCGATGCAGAATATGAGGCTGAGAAGGCAGCTTCTATCCTTGCGGCAAAGAAGGAGCTTTCCGAACTTATCGACCCGAAGCTCCGCTCTGACGAGGGTACCAACAAGTCAGGCCTTTATGAGCTACGTGGAGTAATCACACATCAAGGTGCTAGCGCTGACAGTGGCCACTACACTGCATATGTCAAGAAACAAGCCCATGGTAACAAGGAAGAGGATGGAAAGTGGTGGTGGTTCAACGATGAGAAAGTGACCGAAGTGGAGGCAGAGAAGATTGAGACTCTTTCTGGCGGCGGTATGTTCATTCAAGGATTGAAAATAATATAGATCTCCTACTGACAGTTATATAGGCGAGTCCCATTCTGCGTTGATTCTCCTCTACCGCGCGATTGACCTGCCCACTGCGGACTAAGGCAGCAACGGCTTTGGTTTCGTGAAATAACAGGCTGAATAATGATAATAACATTACGTGCATATGTGGAACACGAGAGATGTCTGTATCAGTGGGGAAAACAGTTTGACTTTTTATTCGTGTTGTATCTTTGTCGTGACACCCAGCTTGATTCTGTTCGTCGGATTCTACTAAGGGAAGATTCTCTGAGCCAGGGACCTTCAGGCGAGCTAGGTTGGATAGACTCAAATGGTTAGAATAAAGAAAATATCTAGACCCAGCTGCTCAAGAGCCATAGAGATATCGTACTCCGTATCACGTGATCCCAAACTAGATGCCTCGGCATATGAATCATTAGCTCGTAGCGAATTCAAGTTTCGTGACCACCCGCAAGATTGCGATGTGAACACCATGTTTGGCACTCGCAGAGCCCTACAGTCCCGGTTACGCAGCCTAGGATCTCAGTCTCAGCTGACATTGCGACTCAATGCTCAGATCTCAAGAAGCACCAGCACTATAACCCATCAATCTGCACCTGAGAGATCGAAGTGGCCGCGACGACTGATCTATGCCGGAATCTTTGGTGGCCTCGGGGTCGCGGCAGGGAAATGGATGGATAATAAGGTTTCTGCACCGGCAGCGCCAGAAACGACAGAAGATGTCCTAAAACTGGAGGAGATTCGTCGAGTATACGAGACTGGGCTGCCTATCGTGCAGGAGCTCCGAAACAATCCGGACTATGTGGAAGCGGACGTGTATGGGAACTATTCTGAGGAGGACAAGAAGCAGAGATTTACATCTGGTCCATTGAAAGGGAGTCGGGGATTAGCGCTGCAGGTTCGTCTCTTCTCTAGGCTCCTACTGTGCGACATGCTGCGAACCTGCCGCCGTAAAGAGAGCTTAGGGCAGTGTAACTGTCGTACAGAGCTTCTCAACTATTCAACTCGCATTGGAGCAATTGAATCATAATGATAGCATTTAGCTGATTCATCATACAGAAAGTCTTTTGGAACGACAAGGAGCGGAAGGCCGTTAGCGTTGTCTATCTCGGGAATGGCCTCGAAGGATGGCCGACTGTTGTCCACGGCGGAGCTCTTGCCACCGTAATTGATGAGAATCTAGGCCGTGTCGCAATCCGCCATTTTCCAGAGCGTACAGGAGTTACGGCAAACCTTGAGATTAAATACCGCGCTCCGGTATATTCGGGCAATTTCTATACCTTCCATTCTACCATCGAACGAGAACGTACCACGGATAGCAAGGCTTACGTGATGGGAGAAGTACGCGACCCAGTTGGAAGAATTTGTGTTCAAGCATCTGCCCTTTTCGTTGTTCCCAAGAAGTATAAACTTGAGAAGATTGGGGAGCGGTACTGAGATGCAAGAGTCCCGATATTCCTATCTGTTAAAGGATCTTTATTTGACTCGACGCCTTAATTACTGATGCCTTGCTAATGCCTTACTATTTTGGGGGGGGGGGGAATATTTGGATGCTGGGGTCAAATGCCGAGGGATTAGAGTATTTGGTAGGGCTTTGCCCAGAGGACCCTTTTTGAGCGATTTTCCCAATTTGTGGTATTCCTTGTATGTTTGTATATATACGGTAATTTTGTAGAGAGGGAGGTCCACAAGACCATAAAGACCTTCCCATAGAGTGAATATTTTCTTACGTGAAAAATTCCAGTTGTGCTGTCTCTTGACCCAAACCATTTCTTGTCTAGACCATCGATCATGGAAACCTTCTCCACGTCTCCCCCGCATTTTCCCCGGAATCCACCTTAGATATGGTTCGGTAATAGCGCATTGACAACTTCAGAAACATGCAAAACGCCTCGGCTGCGTCTCGGTTTGGAAATATCACCGGTTTCTAGGCTCTTTTTGTCTACGTCTCCGATTGGTGCCGGCCTTCATTCGCCACCACTTTCGATTATCACCATTCGCACGAGGCAGCAATACTTAAGCATCGTCGATCCATGCTTATTGTGGAATTCATTGTGTACCCATAGTCTGGAGAATATAAGATACAGGCCTGAGCTTGGGGAAAGCTTGTTATACTTAACCTACTCTACATTTGCTTGACTTCTTACGATTGCCTTGACCCCAACCGTGAAGCATACAATTGATGACCTTATGTGTCTACTGCAAGGTTGCGCGGATTGAATTTCTAACTCGAATATTTCCCACTTTCCCCCTCTTGGAATAGGAGAGCAGCAGCAGTCATGGAGCTCACCAATAACTCCACTCAATCGCAAGCGGATGAAAAGACTGTCGGACATATGGACAATAGCCATGACAAACAGGGCTATAGTCACCAAGAAGATGTTGGATCGGGTGACTATGCGGACGAGTCGGGGGAGCAAGTGTCTGAGCCTCCTGTAAGCTCTGTTATAATGTCTCTATAACGCCTTCCAACCTTTCATCAAGGATGTCGAGAAATGACTAGTCTACTTTCAATGCCAGATGACTTTCCGTCGGTTTATGGGCTTTACAGCCATGGCCTTCTTATGGACCGGCAGTCAGATTCCTGTCTATCTGTTTGGTGAGTTCTAATCGAAACTACGTCTTACGTCTTTTACACTAATTGATGAACAGGAGGAATTCCACCCTACATCTATGGAGATATAGGCGGATCAGATCGATGGGTTTGGTTTGTGGGTCCTGTGCCTTCCCATATTCAACAAAACAGTTGAGCTTACAGTTATTTGATATTGTGCAGGTTTTAGCTAACCTCCTCGCTCTTGCCGGTGTCTGTCCATTTGTTGGATCCCTTTCCGATCTGATAGGTCGTCGCTATGTTGCCCTAATTGGAGTTTCGCTCATTTGTGTCGGGATGATTGTGAGCAGTACTGCACACACGATGAATACATTCATTAGTAAGGCCCTGGCTTACCAGCATGGCCTCCTTTCTAGCTAACCACTACTAGGTGGAATGGCCATCGCAGGTGCAGGTGCGGGTGTCAACGAGTTGACCGCATTAGCTGCAACATCTGAGATGGCGCCTACCAGACAGCGAGGCAAATATGTCGCCGTCTTAATCTTCACTATAGTGCCGTTCTGCCCATCTGTATTATGGGCTCAGCTTATAGCAGCGCATAGCGGTTGGCGATATGTCGGGGCATTCTGCGGTGCCTGGAATGGTTTCGGTTTGTTGATCACGGCGCTATTCTACTATCCGCCACCAAGGATTAATTCAGAGGGATTATCTCCCAAAGAGGTCATGAGTCGGGTTGACTATGTCGGTGGCTTTCTCAGCATTGTGGGACTTATCTTGTTCATGGCCGGAATGCAATGGGGCGGTTATCAGGTATCACAATCTTATTACTCCAATGTTGCTTGCTCTCAGAGCTCACCTATGCTACAGTACGCTTGGTCATCAGCGCATGTCCTCGTGCCACTCATCCTCGGATTCGCTCTCCTAGTCATTTTCGGTGTTTGGGAAGTCTACGGCGCAAAGTACCCTATCTTCCCCAGTCGCCTGAAGCAAGAACCTCGTACCCTGGGTTTAACCCTAGTTATCACCTTCATCTCCGGTGCAAACTTTTTCTCCGTGATCATGTTCTGGCCCACCCAGTCGTTCAACGTATACGGGCATGATCCTGTCGAAGTTGGCGTCAGAAGCTTACCAATCGGATTTGGCATCATGGGCGGTGCCTGCATCACACTGTGGCTATTGAGTCTGCTACGAGGCCACAATAAAGAACTATTAATCATCAGCAGTATCCTCATGACCGCTGGTTCGTACACCCCCAACAACTACCATCTTATCACATAAAACCTAGCTAACAGTCTTCAGGCTGCGGCGCAATCTCAATTGCCCGTCCCGACAACCTGTACCAACTATGGGGCCTACTCACTCTCGCCGGCCTAGGTATCGGCGGAATCGTAGTTCCAGCCTCTATCATGACAACCATCATCTGTCCAGATGTAAGAATTTTGTCAACCTACAATATTTGAAGAATAAATCAGAAGAGACACAACTGACACCCCCAATAGGATCTAATTGCAACAATCTCCGCCCTCACCCTCTCCATCCGCGTTGTCGGCGGCAGCATCGGCTACACGATCTACTACAACGTCTTCATATCCAAATTCGTTCCAAATGCCAAACATTACATCGGCGGCGTCATGCTCACAAAGCTCAATATCACGAATACTACCTACATTGCCGAAGCAATCGAACTCACCGGGGCCTCGTTATTAGACGGTCTGCGCGAGATTCCTGGAATCGCAGGAAATGACACTGCGTATCAGGCTGTTGTGGCAGCAGGGCAGATGGCCTATTCGGAGAGCTATAAGTGGGTATATTATGCTAGCATTGCGTTTGGTGGTGTTTCGATTCTGGCGGCGTGTTTCTTGGGAAATATTGGGGATTATATGGATGATCATGTGGCTGTTGTTATTTAGTGGGATAGGGGTGGATGGTTTGACTTTTTCCAAAGGAACTTGCTTATTAGGAGGATTGGATGGCCATGCTTAGGATTACACAGAAATAGGTTGGGTCATTTGACGATGGATATGAAATCAGGTTTAGATAAGGACAGTGATACTATGGGATAAGAGGTATCAAGATATCAATCGAGCTAATGAACATATATATAAATGCGAACGAACACAACATAGGGGTATACGTAATTCGCTCCCAAAATGAAACACAAAACGCACAAACCATACAAATTACTGCCATGTACTTTCCACTTGATTCATGGCAGTTCGTTTTGGTACAAACCCAGAAATGGAAGACTTAGATTTTCGCCTATCCTCTTTGGGTCGTAACCCCCTACTCAAACCGCCTCCCAGACCCCGAGCAAGGGAAGCAAATGGTGATGTATGCCATTGATCGAGATCATCTTCGTGCTGGCCAACGTTGGATAAAATATCAGGTTGTTTCCGAGGTTTGGTCAAAGGACTAGTCTCACCCTCCGGTGTTGGCGAGGATGGGCTCCAAGGCCTCGGAATATTTGTGACGATGTGCTCCGAACATTTGCAGCCACATCCGGTGGGACAGTATTGGTATTCCTGATCACTGTCGTGCATGTCTATAATGCCATTGGCCTTGTCATCTTGTAGTGCATGAGATAACCCCGAGAACCAGCCCTGATGGCAGTCAAAGCAACTGACGTGGCCGCAATTGAGACAAGGCGTGAGCATTCCGTCAACCACCTCCCCGCATATAACGCAAGGGAGTTTGAGGGGAATAGGTTGTTTTGGATTGCAACCTGTGCAGATCGTGGGTGTAGGATCTCCCTTCATTTGGCTTTTGGCTGCCATCTCCGTCGCGGGTTCACTGGTGAATATTGACATTTGCAGGGGGCGGCCACACCGAATGCAGTGTCGTTGGATTTCCAGTCCCTGGATACCAGCTTCCAGAGTCGAGTTCACCGAACCTCTATGTCTGAGGGTCGGTAATGAAAGCGATGACCTCGGACTGTTGTAACCCCATTGACGGAAGTCTGTGTCGCTAGAGTGGTTATTAACTCGCCCAATTTTCAGGACTTCACTGCGCTGTATAGGCAAGCCCCAGATTGATAGCAAATGGGCGTATGCCTGCCGGTACGATCGATACAGGCCGTCCTTCTTGCTTTCGATGAAAGTGTTTTGTGTGACCCCGTCACCCTCAAAAGCGTCACGGTTTTTCAACGCCACCCGTAGCTTCGCTCGTGGCTTCGAGGTTTGGTTCTTTTCCGGTCTTTCACTCTCTGTGTCAGAATGTGTCTGAGAGGTAGGAGCAGTGGATGTGGTAAGGTAGTCAGGAACTGCTGACACAGGTTTGGATATGAAAGTACTCGCAGGCCAGATACCCCCGGTCGTGTTAGGGCTGCCGCTGGGGCTTTGCTTTTTTCGGTACAACGCACTGGCCGGTGGTGAGGCTGATGAGGGGCCAAAAGTGAAAGATCGGGAAAGGGAAGAAGCAAGAACAGAACCAAGGCCCGATGCGCTACGCGGCTGAGATTGTTGGTCAGGTGAGGCAGCTATGGACGCAGTATGGCTCATAGCCTTCCTCTCTGCTGCGAAACCTGCAGCACGCGATGCTAAAGGAGGAGTTGTGCCTGTGGAATAGGGAGGAGTTGAGTCAAGACGCCAAATTTCAGAAGACGATCGTCCAGAGCTCTGCGTGATGGGTGTAGTATGGCTGTCCTTCGGTGTGGATCCTAGGGGTGTTGTCGTGTGAAATTTACTGTGCGAGGCTGCCTGGGTAGCGTAATTATTTAACGATAAGGACTGATCGTCTACCCTCTTTGATACTATTTTGCTGGGGTGGTGTTCCCCGTTCGGCGAGTACTTCTCATGATCTGATTCATGCAGAACACAACTTAGCATCGCTACCATCTGTACGTCACCGACCCGTTCAAAATGTTCGAAGAGAGCAGGAACAAGCCATTGTCCACCGAAAGGATGGTCTCCCCATTGAATCACACCATTGACAGTATCTTTTGGATGCTGGTCTTGATTTCCGAGATCATAGCTCAGATCGACGGCACTATCTTTCCTCTGCACTTGCTGGGGTCTTTCACCGGTGTCCAGGCCAGATGTCGGGATAGGCTTTTTATTATTGTGCAAGACCAACTTGACGAGGCCCCATATCCTAGCTAGCTCATAGAAGCCATGATCGAGAGCAACCGCAGCATTGTGGGCACATACATCAGTACCTTTACCGCAGATACGGTATTTGTTTGCCAGTTCGCGTTTTGCTGGTAATAACTCACTGAGGTCATGGATAGATACAATGTTTTGCGGATTTTCAGTCACTTTCGAAGTCATCATACCAACTGTTGACCTCTGAGAATTGTCTGTGGACCGCGGCTTATATAGCCCAAGACTGCCAGCACTGCGCCATGTTTGCGGCGTTGGAAATCGGTGTTGCAAGGTCGATAGGATACCAGAAGAACCAGAAGAGCTGGAGGTCTCCGCATCCGAGTCATCGGAGTAATCGGAGGTGCCATCGTCGGTGCTAGTCATTGTACCCGAAGCCCGTGGTCCGGGCGAACTCGTTTGCAGACGGCCGAATCCCTCAAAAACTTTGTCTGCCCTCGACAGCCTCGTCATTTCCTTGAAACCCAAATTCTCCAACAGAGATGCCGACTTGTCCTTTTTAGTAGGGAAAAAGCAGACTAAGCGACCATCATTGGCCCAAAGAGCACCACATGCCTTAGCCACAGGTACCATTACATTTGCATTGACTGGCCGTAGCAGTTCAGAACTCATCCCCAGTTCTTGACTCTGAGACAATCCTACTTCATCTTCGTCGCTTGACTCTCCCGTCTCTAGCTGACCGCTGATGGGTGATTTGACGGTCTCAGTTGTTTCGCCCAATATCCAGGCTATGCTTTCTTCCAGACTGGTTTCACCTAACAAGTAGCGAACAACCCCTTCAAGGCAGCCTCTTTTATGAGAGAGGAAAGTCTCTGCAATGGTACGTAATTCTGCAACAAGCTTGTCGGCAAGTTCGTCTGTGACAGCCGATGTCCTCTGCACACTGAACGTTGGCATTGCAGTTCTTGGGTAGTCGGCAGGGAATTTTATGTCCACTTTCAAGAAGAGCGAGTCACCTTCCGGCCCCCAAGGTCCATGCAAAGATATAGTTGCCTTCCGTTGCCTGACATCCACGGAGTCAAAATCGACCTTAGTGAACTTCTCTCCCACATGTGTGATCTCATCACCTAGAGTTTCGACATCCCAACCCGATATTTTCACGCCTCGCATCCAGGATATGGGGTTCGTATCGGTTCGGAGGTTACTTCTGCCTTGCATACCGATTCTGGAATCCGTGTTACCGCCCTGGGTCCACGGCCGAGTGTACGGCACAGATATGGTGTTCAAACCCAAGGCACGGGATGAGCCGGAGACAGGCTCCTGAAATGCGGATAGAGAATCTGTATCATCATATGCTCGACTGCCATCTTCATCACGGAAGCTCTTGTAGACGGCGCCATTGCGGGTGAGGTTTATGTTGGAAATAAATGATTTTCCCTTTTCGTAGCCGACGCCACGCATGACATCCGGATCAGCCCTGTGCAGACGAAGTTCCCTGTCAGTTCCCCACGATACTAGCTGAAAATCCCTGTGATCAGCTCCATCGACCACGCCTCCACGCGCTCTCCACAGGAATTCCTTAACCTGACCTTTATGTCCTGGGAAGCTGTGCACAAGGGGAAGGTCTTTGCCGGGATCTTCACCTTCCCCAGCCCGGCGACTATATAGATGAAGATCGCTGTTGCCTCTCTGTGGCATTGCTAAAACACCCCATCCAAATGGGGTATTCCTGGCGCGCCATACCGGAAAAGGCGTTCTAATTACCTTCTCCGGCTCTTCACCTTCGACTGTATAATCCCAAAACTTGATCGTCTTATCTAAAGCACACGTTGTTACCGCTCCTGGGCGAACTCTGTTCCAATCAACACCATAGATCTTGGTATCGTGGGCCTCGATGGACCGAATTGGATAAGCACCTTTTCTCTTGTCCCATATCCTTAGGAATTTATCATGGGAGCTGGCGATGACATTTGGATCCTGTCTGTTCCATTTAACTTGAGTTGCGCCGGCAAACCAATCCGAGAACGAGATGGCAGGTCGAGAAGGGGATCGCAGATCCCAGCAATGGACAAAACTGTCCACGGCACAGGTCGCTAAGGCGTCGGGATGATGAGCGGAGAAGTTTATATCGGTTATTGCGCGAGTGTGAGCATGCAGTACATGCTCAATTGAGTTCTGGCAGGACTTCGTTGCCAAGTTCCAAACCAATGCCTTCTGGTTCGATGTACTGACGACCCAATAATCTCGAGCAGCGAACGGTGACCACTGAACATCCGCGACCTCCCATGGTGTATGGTGAGGGAGGTATCGAGGTGGTGAATATGGTGAATCCAAATCGATGATATGGAGACCCTCCTTTGAAGCCAGAACTACGTCTCGTCCACATGGCGATATTGACATAGACCCCACGGGCTGCTCGACATGGAAGGAACTATCCTCTCCAAAAGTCGGACTTTCGAATGCCGAGGTGAGCGGCCTAGGCTCACTAGGATCGACCATTATGTAGTTGAGGAGCCTCCGGTGCTCAATTTTCTGCTCCCTTCGAGGTATTTACCGACTCCTTCCGAGTACCTTGGCGGATGTGTCGGGTTTCAAGTCTTCCTACAAATCATCGATAGAAAGGATTGTACGGCACTAGAAAGTGCTTTCATTTCGATGGATTCGAAATAGTCTCGTCAAATGTACGAAGTGAAGGTAACGACGGAACTGTCACACATTGCACAATGATACAGCACTAGTAGTTGTTTTTAAGGATCCATTGTAAATTAAGTTGATAAGGTAGAGAGATAACTCCAGCGTCAAGGTTTAGTACATGTGTACACTCACACATATAACAAAAGCTTGAGCCACCTCAATGACTTGATTCTGGTAGCTATAACATCTCCGCAACTTCGAGGTGGTGTGGAGACGGGCGAACCTCCCAAGGCATCCCTATCGGGCTTAGGATAGCAAGTTGCGCTTATGGTCCATATGCGCTCCCGTGTCTAGCTGAATACAGAAGGCGGTGAGATAAAGTACCCCTCTGCCCGTTGCATTTGCTGATGGTTTGGTAACCTTCATAGCATAGGATCTTCCGGCTGTGACTAAACGGTTCCTTGCGGATCCTGGCCCAAACTTGCATCATTTCCTCCGTGTTGGAATCTGCATCCATCTTGGGAAACACTTGAACTCACTAGTTATAGCTGTTGTTCAGGAATAAAAAGAAGATCTGAAAACAGAACTCTAAGCCCCACCTTGGATTACACGCGGGGACGTTTACCGTTTAGTTCTGGTCGTTCAAAAATGGCGTTACCGAAAAGAATAGTGAAGGAGACTGAGCGCCTTATGGCGGAGCCGTAAGTAATTTACTCATAGTGGAAATAAAGAACTATCATTGATGCTTTGGCTCTTTTAGGGTTCCCGGTATCAATGCTGTGCCTCATGAAGACAACCTGCGTTATTTCGATGTTTCGATCCATGGACCGGCCCAATCTCCATATGAAGGTATAGTGCACATGCCCTCATATATAGGGGGAAGGAACAATGTGATTGCTAATTGCCGACAAAGGTGGTATCTTCCGTCTTGAACTGTTCTTGCCCGAAGATTATCCTATGACTCCTCCCAAGATTCGATTCTTGACCAAGATCTACCACCCCAACATCGACCGTCTCGGACGTATCTGCTTGGATGTCCTGAAGAGTAAGCCTTTGCTAGGGATCTCCCCTAAAAGATATCGACAGGCTAATGCGTGTTAGACAACTGGTCCCCTGCGCTCCAAATCCGTACGATTCTGCTCTCTATCCAAGCCTTGCTTGGAGCTCCGAACCCAGATGACCCGCTTGCAAATGATGTCGCTCAGCGCTGGAAGGAGGATGAGCCCGCTGCGATACAGACCGCTAGGGAATGGACCAGAACACATGCCATGACTTAGATTATTGAGGAGTGACTCAACAAAATCCACTATGACGGAATATGAACCAATACGTTGTGATGTGACCATGAAAACAAAAGTTATACTGCGAGCCTAGGCCCTCCCGGCAACTATCTTTTGGATCAGTATCATGCCCTTGAGAGATCTTATATCATTTCCTTGAAAGAGAGGCCCTGTTATCATGCATCTGCTCAACACATCGATGATAGATCTCAGCTCTGGCTCACGGCCCTTTTGTGCTCCTATACTACGAAGCAGTCGAGGCTGCAAAAAAGGGGTATATGGTTTTCACATTTATTTTGCCATCAGATCAGAGCTGCACTTTGATAGAACGATTTCATTTCTCTAGAAGTTTATATTACAAATTACCTTCTTATACACTTGCATCATAAAATTAGTTATCTTGTGCTTGACAATAGACAGTTGGTACTGGTTTCAGCAGGTTCGTCGTCATCAATAAATGCGATGCTACATGATTCAAATCTACTAGTAGAGATTGCAGTATAGGGTTGATTGGCCAAAGACGCTTATGCATTTATTCACCTCATGTACGTATACCCCAACAAGAAAAGGTAAAGGCTTGCAATGAAACCAACTGGAATATCTTGTACAACATTAGTATAATCGTAAGGTATACAGGTAATCTCAGAGCAAGGGGTTTTCGAACAGCCACAGCATATGGCCCGCTCTCACATCATTCACTGCTACCCTCCATGTGCGTAAAAGCGAATACGACTCACAAAAGCAAACAGTACCATGTTTTCAGATCATCATACCAGCCGTGGTTCTACTCCATCGACTAGCCCACCCCCTCTCATCCCCTAGCAACAAATAGTAGCCAAGCACGCGAGCTTCCAAGCAGCAGCCGATATAAACTGTCATCATGAAAAGCAAGCCCAAAGGCAAATCGAAGGGTAAAGGAAAGAAAAAATTCAAAAGAGAACATACCAACAACAACAAAGACAAGTAAGCATCATGAGCCCATTCAATTATCCTTCCTTATCCCCCCCTCTTTCCAGTACGTGGCTGAAACATCTCAGAATCTGTATCACAGCTTCGAACAAAACAATCAATGAGATTGACCCAGGCAGGTTTTCAGAAGAGATCACAGCTCAACTCGAAACAGCCCTTCGAATCGAAGACGAAACTCTTAACCGGCCACTAATTTCCAAACCTAAGGATACTAAGGCAGAATCGACAGTGAAGTGGGGTGAAGTCAATACCGACTACAATGAGGGGACACTTAGAGTAAGCTCGCTCAAGAGACGGTTGAAGATGACCTTCACTGGCAACCCCTTGAAACTGCCCGGTGACCCCGATAGGCACAGCTGCCAGATTCACTCCCAGGATAAAGCGACTCGCTCGGAACGCTCTGGTTCCGGCACTGCTAGTTTGATAGATGGCAACACAACAGGGACGCATGGGGGTATTCACACCGAGACAAAGAAGTCACCGACTACTCCTCCTACCCCAAAGTATCTGAAGTACATCAGGGCGACTAATGGTATGTGCTGTTCAGTCGTTTTCTTTAGGTGTCTTGCTTGTGGCTTGTTATTGATGATTGATTGGTATCTGACTCCGCTACTTGAACAGATTATATCTTTCTGGATCTGGACTTCCTGGAGACAGATACGTCAAACAAGCTCGTTCATGGCAGCCCTCTATCGGCGATGAAGGGTACGAAGCAGCAATCATCAGGAGTGAGCCCTTCAGGAAAGAAGTCTCCGGAGACAAGGGACCAAGCTACTAAGAAGGGTCTCCAAAAACAGGTAGGTAGATCTCATTGAAAAGGAAGCTGATAAAGTTATTAACATTATCAGATCGAACAACTTCGTAGCCTCACTGGAACCGAGGTGAAAACCATTTCCCTCAATGATTTCAAGTCACCACATAGAGTGGAGGACAGCCGACAATGGAATACCGTGAACCTGAGGTGCAGTACTTGTGGTGGGAACTGCCCAATCTGTAGCGTAGCATGCTGCAGATATGCAGAAGCTAAGCAGATCATTGCCGATACCGAATATAAGCCTGGGGAATCCGACAATGCAACACAAATATTGCAGATAATTGAGGGGCTGGGTTCGCATGTCAAAGACATGAGTACCTTTTCCCTATGTAGCGAACCCGGAGGCTGTGGCAGACGTGTATGTCCGACCTGTTGTGGTAGATGCCCAAGTGAGATATGTGATGATATTCAATGCATGGTAATATTCCCAATGTTTTGTCCGTGTTTGAAGACACTTATGAGTACTTGTATGGTGGTTAACGTTATACTTGCTATAGGAATGCAAGCCAAATCCTTGGGAACTCTGCGATTGGCACGATTGAAGATGTGGGATGGGGAGTGAACCGGTTTGGCTACGTATGGCACACTGAAAAAGCCTCTTGTCTGGGTGAGTATTGCAAAGAACTTAGATGAGTTTCAAGAGCGAGCGGAAATAGATTTATGCTGAGATATTTGATCATTTTCAACATGTATTGAAGCCGAATCACTATGGACAAGGGTACATTTAATTGAACATTTCATGATACCAGCATGAAAGCCATTCATAAAAGTATGGCCATTAGTCCCAGTAGCATCAAGGCCTTAATTGGTATCTCGTGAATAATAATTATCCCCAAATACCTATAGCCACCCCAGATGTCTCATAGAAGTTGAAGTTGCATAACGGGGAAGGGCAGACGAGGTCACGTGTCGCACTTTAGCGAGGCTCCGCACCGCACCACAATTGTGTCAGCGTCTCGCGAACAGCTCGCCGCAGCGACCGATACGATACAACCACCCAACGCCAACCGACAACATCTCGTTGCGCATCTCCGACGTTCAAGATGCGTACCTACGACGATTCTTTCAGCGGTCAGAAGATCTACCCTGGAAAGGTGCGTTTTGTCCACTTCCGCAAGAGAGACGCTCTCTTCCACACCGAATATACGAAACCCTCGCCCAGGCTACCCCGAGCCAGCCAATCCACCCCCAATACAAAAAGAAATCATGCACAAAAAAATATACGAAATTTTATCAGGACATGTTCGTTGACATTTAGACAATTATAGGGTAAGCTGTACGTCCGTGGCGACAGCAAGATCTTCCGCTTCCAGAATGGAAAGTCCGAGTCCCTCTTCCTCCAGCGCAAGAACCCCCGCCGCATCTCCTGGACTGTCCTCTACCGTCGCCAGCACAAGAAGGGTATCTCTGAAGTCAGTACCGCCAAATTTTCCCCATGGTTGCAGTTGTTTCTTTGGTTTTCCGGAAAGGTCCGACATGTCGGGACGTGAGGTTGGGTCCGATGATGGAGCATGGACATGTCGACTAGCACGATGCGGAAACATCGGAAAGGAGCTGGGATATATCTGCAGGTGACGAAGCGTTGGGACAGGACCAGAAATGCTGACGGGATATTTTTCAATGCATACAGGAAGTCGCTAAGAAGCGTACCCGTCGTGCCGTCAAGTCCCAGCGTGCTATCGTTGGTGCTTCCCTCGACGTGATCAAGGAGCGCCGCAACCAGCGCCCTGAGGCCCGTGCTGCTGCTCGTCAGCAGGCTATCAAGGACGCCAAGGAGAAGAAGGCCGCTTCCGAGAAGGCTAAGAAGGCCGAGAAGGCCAAGAACGCTGCCGCCGGCAAGGGTACCGCCCAGCGCATCCAGAGCAAGCAGGGTGCTAAGGGCTCTGCCCCCAAGGTTGCCGCCAAGTCTCGTTAAACGGAATAGAAGCGGTTTGGCTTGGGCTGGGGAGTATGAAGGAATTCGGGAGGTTTCCGGAGCTGGAATTTGTGTTTCCTTCACAAAATTTTATGCAATAAATCGGCGTATGTGCGATGGTTTCTTGCGGACGAGATTCCCGCACGGCTCTCAGATAGGCTCTGTCATTGTGCGCCATGGTACTTACCAGGAAATGGAAAAAATGGATGTGACATGATAGCCGTTTGTCGCTCTGGGCCTGTAGATTCCTGTACGGGTTTTTTAGTTTACGATGTGACATAATGTCATAATTGGATTTAGATTGTTCTCAAGACGTTCCCATGCGTAACGAACTCTTATCTTATCTAGTATAAGACTTCCCTTGATTTTGGGCCACTGTCCTTCCTCTGTGACAAAGTTATGGATATCATAGACTATCTCCGCCTCTAAAGTGGCTATAAGTATTTTTAAATATTGACATTATAACATTACTTCGATACTCTAATATGTTGTCTATAGAATGGATGGCAGTAACAAGGAATCCTAGCTCTACCCAAGTGAACATGCTAGCGACTACCCATAGGCAATCAATTCGACAAAGGTATAAAAATCCCCATCTGAACATGCCCATCTCTCGAGATTGGCCCATCAGAAGTCGATCGACAGGTCGAAAACCACTCATGCCATGCACCGTCAAGAGTGTCCGCTCTGATCTTTCTAGAGCGTCCTCGACCGAGTCCCACAGGAGCGAAGCCCAAGAATAGGCGAGCTAATTCGCCAAGCAACCGTGTCCCGAACACCAGGCCTTGTAAACCCGAACAAGAATTCTAGAGAAGGCCCCTCAGGCATTATGAAGGATTCTCACAGACAAAACCCAAGCCATTTATCTGAACGCCAGTATAAGTCCCTTAGCCGCAAATCTTAATTTCAGTAATAGTGAGCCATTTCCAGGCCGGCTCGCTTAAAGCCACACTTGAGGTAGAAGCCCTCATTGTGTTCGGAGCAATCAAGGATGCTCTATAAGAACAGATTAGCAACGGGAACATTCTATAAAAAAAAAGGGGGGGGGTGTCAACTAAAGCATACCTTGTAACAACCGACGTTAGCAGCCACGTAGTCCAAAGCCTGGATGAGCCTCAAGCCCAACTTCTTTCCCTGCTGTGACTGATCAACGGCAATATCTTCGATGTGCCCGACCATGCCAAGAGAGTGAATGAACTTCCGCTCGACAATCAAGCTGCCGGTACCGACAACACGGTCTGTGTTGTCGCAGATGACAAGCAGGTAATACTCGTCATTACGGGCAGATATCCAGTCAAACCGCTGGCTCCATTGCTCCTCAGTGATGTCGCCGACGGTGGTCAACACACGGAGTACGTCGAGGAAACCCCGCTTGTAGTCGGAGCGGCGAACAGGACGGATAGTGTATCCCTCTGGAAGAACAGCGACCACCTCAGGAGAGATCAGAGAGGTCGAGAAGAGAGGGGCGTCGTCGGGTTGGGAGTTCATGGTGGGTTTGATGGAGACTGCGACAGGGGCAGGAGTTGTGGTGGTGGTGGTAAGGTTGGTCATTGTTAATGGTAGATAGTGGTGCAAATGATGATCGGTCAAACGAGGGAGCCGCGAATTTAAGACTGGATGATCAATGGAGCTAATGGATCACTGTCCGCTGCGCTTTTTAGGGGTAGAAACTATGCGGTGTGAAACACAGTGGAGTCGGGTCCCGATTAGATTTATTGATCTGGCCGAACCAGAACACCGTCAGAAAAAGTGGAAAGAGAGATTCAATTAAGAAGGGAGAAGGAGAAGAAAGAGCGAGACACAAGAGTAGTGTTCTTCACTCAATTAATGTCAGATCAACGAAAGACGAATGTTTGGAAGAAGTGAGAACAAACTGAAATTCCAGGAGGTGGGGACAAAACAGGTATTTATCGATAAACAAAAAAAAATACCATGGATTTAAGTTGGGACCTGAGACGCTCGATACCGAATTATTGAAATCTGTTAGTACAAGTTTGAAGAAAATTTCAAACAAGCGAGGGGGTAAAAATAAAAAAAAAAAAAAAAAAAAAAAAAAAAAAAAAAAAAAAAAAAAAAAAAAAAAAAAAAAAAAAATGAAAAAGCAATGAAAAAGCAATACAGTCGCCTTTCACAGCCACTGTGCTATACCCCTCGCTACTAATGCATGCATGTAATTGGGAGCTACTAATTTTTTTCTCAGTCCAACACATTCTACAGGGCAACAGCGGGTGCACAATCTCGTTGGCGCAGCTACCAATGGAATTCCAAAAATAACTCTAGGACAACCCCGGAGCCACAGCCTGATAAAACAAAAAATACGCCAATTCTAAAAATAAAACCCGTATATCAGCATTTTTATTCGTATACACTAAACTACATCACAACATATCTAAAAGGGAAAAAATGCTAATTTCGCTATATCTTAAACTGAACCAATCCATCCTAACCCCTTTTCGTCATCCGGGTATCAAAATGCACCCTTCTATTTCTTCTCCTTGGGAGCAAGCATCAGCTCAGGGCGGACATGGGTGTCGAAGTCCTCCTCGCTGAGGGCCTGAAGCTCCATAGCACTCTGCTTCAGAGTGAGACCCTTCTTGTGGGCGTTCTTAGCGACCTTGGACGCCATGTCGTAACCGATAACGGGGTTCAAGCAGGTGACAAGCATCAGACTGGGGAGGAATTAGTCTAATCTGGGCAGCCTAACGTAAAGCGAAGGGAATACATACCTCTCGTGGAGCAGGGAGTTGATTCTGGGCTCGTTGGCCTCGAGACCGTGCACCAGGTTCTTCTCGAAGCTCTTCATGCCATCCGAAAGAATGCGCGAGCTGTGCAGAAGGTTACGGATCATGACGGGCTTGAACACGTTAAGCTCAAACTGGCCGTTCATGCCACCAACGGTAGCAGCGACATGGTTACCCATAACCTGAGAGCAGATCATGGTGAGGGACTCGCACTGAGTGGGGTTAACCTTTCCGGGCATGATAGAGGAGCCTGGCTCGTTCTCGGGGAGGATCAGCTCGCCCAGACCGCAGCGAGGTCCAGAACCGAGGTAACGGATATCCTGAGCGATCTTGAAAAGCGAGCAAGCAAGGGTGTTAAGGGAACCAGAGGCCTCGACGATCGCGTCATGAGCAGCGAGGACCTCGAACTTGTTGGGGGCGGTCTTGAATTCGGTGCCAGTCATCTTGGTGACCTCGGCAGCAATGGCCTCATCGAAGCCCTTGAAGGTGTTCAGACCAGTACCAACAGCAGTTCCACCCTGAGCAAGATAGCGGAGGTGGGGAAGAGAGTTCTGAACACGCTCGATGTTGCGATCAAGCTGGGCAACGTAGCCGGAGAACTCCTGGCCAAGAGTAAGAGGGGTAGCATCCTGCAGGTGGGTACGACCGATCTTGATGATCTTCTCAAAGTTCTCCACCTTCACCTGGAGGGCGTCGCGAAGGCTCTTGAGGGAAGGCAGCAAAGTTCCCTCGAGCTCCAAAACAGCAGCGATGTGCATAGCAGTAGGGAAAGAGTCGTTGGAGGAAGCAGACATGTTAACGTGATCGTTGGGGTGCACAGGCTTCTTAGATCCCATCTTGCCGCCCAAAATCTCAATGGCACGGTTCGAGATGACCTCGTTGGAGTTCATGTTGGACTGGGTGCCGGAGCCAGTCTGCCAAACAACAAGAGGGAAGTGGTCCAAGAGCTTGCCCTCGGCAACCTCGGCGGCAGCCTTCTGGATAGCCTCACCAACTTTGGGGTCTAGAGCACGCAGGAAATTGTTAGAAAGGTTTTGTTTAACATCACGCTGGTAAAGGTACACGTACCAAGGCCAAACTTCATGTTCACAGTAGCAGCAGCACCCTTCAGAATACCGAAAGCCTTGACAACACCCTCGGGCATACGGTCCTGAGGCTGGTTGATGTCAAAGTTACCCAGGGAACTATTCTCAGACTGATTAGCCTCTGTATATTTTCCTGCCGGGACGAGCTTGGAGGTGAGTTTCTCGAGGCGACCTCTTACCGCTGGGTCTGGGCACCCCAGTACTTGTCGGCGGGGACCTATAGCAACAAACGATTAGACCTTAGAGACAACCCAGCGTTAGCTAGGAGATATGCTCACCTCAATCTCGCCAAAGGCGTCAGTCTCAACACGAGTTTCCGAAGCCTGTGAGGAACCGTCAGCATTGTGCGTTGGAAAAATCGTACTCTTCCGCTAGAAGCAAAGCCATTGCTACAGCATTGAGTGGAGAGTACAATGACTAGCATTTTTCCATCATAAATCCCAGTATGCTTACCATTCTTGCAGTTGTACCAAAAGCTCTCTTGCCGGAGATGGTGTTCAAAGACTGAAGGCGGGGGAACTGGAGTTGTCGGCTATTGGTGCTCAGAGCGCGACGGCAACCGAGAGAAGCGGGGGACCGGGCAGCACAAGCTAAAGCAGAGCGTGCGACTGCGGGGGAACTGGCGGACGCTCTAGATGCTGCATGGGCCAAAGAAGCCATCGAGCGCACCGCGGCTCGGGAGTTCGACGGTGTCAACATGACGGAGCTAGACAAGGATGATTTGTTTAGCTTTGTACTCAATAGGTCAATTGTTCTGAATTGGGAAGTCAAAGTTGTATAAATACCTTAAATTATGTATGTCTATAAGAATAACAATAAAAGTACAGAATCAGTATATTAGGAGAAGAAATACAGAAAGGAGAAAAGGAAAGCAAAATCGAAGGCGCTTCTGCATTCAGCAATTATTCCATTGCTTTTCCGATTCCGCTGCCGAAATCCCCCGGCCCGGTAACGCTAAGACCATACATACAGAAAATCAATACCTATCGAAGATCCCGATGTGTACGGTATGGTAACCATCCTCGCCGGGTAAACCATGATCCTCCCCTATATACATCATGGAGCAAGTTCCTTCTATTATACGACGTTCCTGCTTCCAAGATACCATCCGAATTGGGGAAAACATGGGGTACCCCAGACATTCGCATAAATTTTACTCACAACCAGCAACCTTCAACTTTCCAGCATCATCTTCTCCTTCGTCTCGCAGAGGGTCCATTTATGATGTAACACTTCAAGGCTGGTGCGAGATTTAAGCTGGAGGCTAGCATAGGGGAAGTTTTCTACAGCGTCAGTCAACGCTTTCATGCTCAGGATCTACCGAAATTGTAGACATCATGGGCATACACACCTCCTCTCACCTTGCTGGTCAGGGTAGTCCTAGGAAGTACTTGTGGAGATATGCCATCCCTGCCGTTGGCAGTGCCGGCGTGAATTCCATCTCCCGGTACGACTCGTATGGCAACCTCCGACTGAGATCCTACCGACTGGCATCCGGCCTGGATCAATGCTGAACTCATCGACCTTCTGAAACCGAATCCAGAGTGAAAATTAGTCCGCTGGAACTAAAAACTGCGAGTATACAAGTAGCTTACCCAGTTGAACGCGGGCAAGCAGTCTTCATTAGCAGCAGGGTACCTATTCTCGGTGCAAATCGACAGATGATGTCAAATGCCACTAAGTTCCCATCTAGGTCATGAACAACTCATTTACAGACTTTGCGGTCTGCCAAATGATCACCAAACACCCATCCACCTCCATGGAAATTGGTATATGCCGCTCTGCTCCAGCGTACCTTGTTCATCAACAGTCTGTTTCGACCCGAAGATCCGAACCCTTATCTCTCTCCTTGAACAGAACATTTCTGCTCAGCTCTTTCTAATGTCTTCGATCGGCACTTCATGTGTATGTAGGTGGCCGACATCGTATCTATTGTACTTTTTGACATAAACTGGGTCGAACCGGGGAAGAAGTTCGTGAATGGTGGTTGGTGGGCGTAATGGAATGTAGATTTGGATCCTCCAATTAATTCTAGGAAAGATAGCGATGGCTAGATTACAGTCATAGTATATTTGTGAATATTGCGAATTAGCCTATGTATTTGTACACTCCGTTTCGAGGATAGTTGTTGAGTTTAAGAGTCCACGCATTGCGGCATCTATGATGTACTACTAATATACATACATCGGAGTAACTTCGCTTACTCCGTAGAAATCGCATCCCTCCCTGGTATCAGCCGACGTAACCTCGAATCGGAAAAGACTGTCATTCAGTCTAACCTAGAGACTACAGTCAGCACCCTACAGGCCGCCATTCATTCAACCATACCAATTTCCGCGCTGTCAACATATCTGTTGATTTTGGGTGGCCTTGTCACATCTACGATGTAGTCACCGTAATGGGAGCGGGGTACAGAGTACTGTTAAGTAAGTTGAATATGTGTTTTCCTTTAGACAGTTGGTATTATGTCTGATTCTGTTGATATAGTACTTATCTTTATCTCACGATACTTAATCGACTAATCAATTTCTCTCGATCAGTAGCAACAACCTATCGAGAATTCAATAACCCTCGGGAGTCGTTATCGAGTCCCAGATGGTTCACCGCATCAATAGCAATACTATTCCACAGTTCACACCATGATAGAAAATGTTGCATATCGCTAGTTAGCCAAATGCGTGTCGACAAATACCTCTACCTTCACCGATGCCAAGGCGCCCCAAAGGCACTCGGGGGAAGGAGAAGGAGAAGGCGACACAAAAAGCATGAAAGAAAAAGAAACTATGAACTAACACGTAGCTGGCTGTGCCTGCATTGTGGGATTTCGTGACCTAATTGTCCTTTAGCGTTACGAACATCCCCAGGTCCTCCATTTCAAATATCCGTGGCGAGCCTTGATATGGAGGATCTACCACTATCCGATAGGTGCCATCTCCCTTCATTCACCCCTAGGACAAGAAAATAACCTCGCCCAAGGTCATATGCTCCTCTACATCCAACCCTTCCAAAGATGCGTGTGATCTCAGCACCATCATCATGGAACGTATCTACCAAAAGAATAGATCGCCCTCGACCAGTCAGGGAGCGTTTTCCTACTCTATCCCCATGGAACGGCCCACAATTCAGAAACTATCCACCGCTAAGCGCGTTTTGCCGTCGGGTATTGTCGCCCGCCTGCGACGGCAAATAATGAGACTAAAAAAAAAAAAAAAGGTAAAAAAAGAGGCAGTATTTAATGTTAGCGGATAACTAGGCCGGCGATATCGGGCCAATGCCACTACTAATATATCACACTAGCCATTGAGTCATGCAGAAAACCAATTCTGTATTCTAATTACTTATTTTGGCAGTATAGACAAGTCTCCGGTGATCTCGTCTTCTATATCTAAGCAGCAGCTTCTCCATTCTTTTCCTTTTGTGACCCCCGTCTTCCGCAATCGCAACGCTCCCCAAGGAGAAATCAATCAAGCGAACTTCCGTGAGACTACTATATAACGTCATATCCACCATGACTGTTCTAAGCACTTTGGCCCCGGTGCCGGCAGATGAGATCTTCGCCTTGAACCGCGCCTACGCCAACGACGACTACCCAAAAAAAGTCAGTCTCGGTGTGGGTGTCTACCGTACAGATGATGGCAAGCCATGGCCGCTGCCCGTCGTTCGTGAGGCAGAGAAGCGCCTACTGGCCGAGGACAACCTATTCAGACATGAATACACCGCTATCGAAGGCGACATCCCCTTCCTCGAGCTGGCTCGGGACCTGATGTTCGGCTTCGATGCGAAAGACACCTCCGACAAGGTTAAGTCGACCAAGGGCCGCATTGGCTCTGTCCAAGCCGTCGCAGGTACCGGCGCCAACCACCTCGGTGCTCTCTTCCTCTCACACCTTATGAAGCCCAAGAATGTCTGGCTCTCCAACCCATCCTGGGCCAACCATCTGACCATCTGGGAGCTCGCTGGCGTCCCCCGGAAGACCTACCCGTACTACAAGGCCGCCACCCGCTCCTTCGACTTCGAAGGCATGATGTCTACCCTCGAAGCTGAGGCCCAGCAAGGAGACGTCATCCTCCTCCATGCCTGCGCTCATAACCCCACCGGTCTCGACCCCAACAAGGAGCAATGGAAGGCTATTGCCGACTTGTGCGAGCGCAAGAAGCTCTTCCCCTTCTTCGACTCCGCGTACCAGGGGTTCGCCTCCGGTTCGGCCGACGAGGACGCCTGGGCTGTCCGCTACTTCCTCAACGAGAAGCCCCAGATGGAAATGTGCGTTGCTCAGAGCTTCTCGAAGAACTTCGGTCTCTACGGCCAGCGTGTCGGTGCATTCCACTACGTCCTGAACGACGGTGCCCAGAACCTCCGCGACATCGTCGTCAACAACCTCTGTCACTTCATCCGTGGAGAGTACTCCATGGGTCCTACCGGTGGATGCAGCATCGTTAAGAAGGTCCTGACTGACGAGGAGCTCACTGCCCAGTGGCATGAAGATCTGAAGGTCATGAGCTCCCGTATCAGAACCATGAGACAAGCATTGTACAATGAGCTCATCAAACTTGAGACTCCCGGAACATGGAGACACATCGTTGAACAGGTAATAACAAAACCACCCATCACCACGTCTGACATCATTCCGAGCTAAGACTAACCTTCTCTCCTCCCAGAACGGAATGTTCTCCTACACCGGTCTCACCCCCTCTCAAGTCTACGCCTTGAAGGACAAGTATCACATTTACCTTCTCAAATCTGGCAGAGCCTCCATCAGCGGCCGTAAGTCATTCATTCCATCCGCTGCACGAGAAAAGTGTCCGTACTAATAAACCTTTCCCACACAGTGAGCGAAAAGAACGTCACCTACGTAGCTCAGGCTATCAACGACGTTGTCCGCAACGTCAACTAAGCATGGGTTATTATGCTGATGATTACAACGAGGAACGAAGTCAATAAATCCAAAAAAAAAAAAAAAAAAAAAAAGCAACGCTCAGTACATATCTAAGGTACCTTTGTCGTACATATGAAGATTCAAAGCATATCGGCGCAATAGTTGGCAATCTTTTCTTGCATTTTAGGTGAAGGTTAGGAGAGGTCCTTCCATGCCAGGGGACATTGTCAGATAGTGTGATGTACGTGTACTGGAGTGTGTGTGACGAGATAGATGTACATCTTGGATAGATTTGTATGGCATTTCGAATGATTATGGAAGCTTATGATGTGATTACAGAATCCCTACTATATAAGATAGAGAACTTTGTGATATCAGATAAATCATGCAGCATTAGAAGCTACCTCTATAATACAAACATGACACAAGAGCCCAGAAAGGGGTAAGATATGAAAAGTATAAGAAAGGCATACATTAGGAAACGTCGTGCCGCGAGAGACTCATCTACTAGCATACTGGCTATACAATTACAGACTTCGATGAAATCAAAGTCTTAAACAGGATAAGAAGAGGAAAAGGAAAAGGAAAAGCAATCAGAGGAAAGAGACATAAGGAAAACGCTCACATGGACCCATTAAAGAGGGACTTCATTGAAGTCCCCTTCTCCTTCTTTCCCCTTGCCCTTCTTCACTTCATCATCTGATGACTCTTCTTTTGTTTCCTCTGCCTTCTCTGGTACATCTTCGTCCTTCTCATTATCAGCTTTGTCCTCTTTCTCGGATGAGCTTGCCGTTTCCGCGGCATCTGCCTCCCCATTTTGCTCGGCGTGACCGTTAGAAGTCGGCTCCGGGGACTCTGCAGCCTCGCTCTCATCCTTGGGGGGAGGTGGAGGAGGTTGTTCATCTTCATCATCCGAAGGTCCTTCCGAGTCCTCAGCCTTCGGTTGACCGCTCATGCCGGCCCCGGGGAACGGAGTAATTGGCGGCTCAGCGATAGACTCTTGTCTCTCTCGCGTCGGCTGAGGCTGGAGGCTCAGTCTCGACTGAGACTGGGATTGGATATGATTCTGTGTGTTGGCAGTCATGGTAGACATGGTACGCTGATGTTGCGTTGACGCATGAATAGGACCCAGCTGTCTGGCTTTGGGGTCGGCATTTAGATAGTAGCCACGGACACTCACGATAGTGCCCTCAGCCTCACAGGCATCCACCCATTCCGGCGTCACGACGGGAATATTCATCTCAACCGCCTTCTCCCACAGCGGGCCTCTTCCCTCCGTGCACACGAAGTGAGTCGTATCAATGCGGACCGTATCAATCAGCTTGCCACCGACGCGATCCAGCGCAGCACCAAGTGCCTCCTTCTGCTGTTCCGGGAGAATGCCCGCCGTGACCGTGATACCGGAGAGATCGGTCATCTTGTGCGTCCGACATGTCAGCTTCTCCGACTGATATGTGCCGGCGGTTGTGCGCAGGACTAAGTGGAAGGTGTATTCGGTGTGGATTGCCAGTCCGCTGATCTTGGTGGAGCGTGTCTCGAGGGGTCGCGGGATGGATCCAGCTTTGGAGCCATTGCGATAGAGTGAGAGGGATTTCAGAGATGCTGTGGCCAGGTCGATCGGATCCCATTCCAGTACTAGCGAAGTCTGGGTTGCGTTGCGGAGTCGCAGGACCGGCGGGGTAGGAGTTTTGACACCGTATGTGTTGAGGATGCGTTTCTGGAGACTTTGGAATCCGGTGGCACAGGCTTCTTCGGCGGAGTGATTGCGCGCTACGGTAATGTCGACGATGCTGCCGGATGTGATGTTGTTAGGGAGGAGAACGGAGGGAAACTCGATCTGTTATTGTAGGGTTAGCACTTGCGAGGTGGACAGATAATAAAACTGCCGCGGAGGCAGTGACGTTGTTTCATGTTTGAAGGGATAAGTCAGGGATCGAGAGGTCTTGAAGGGGCGAAACAGTCACATCAATTGCAGTCAGAAGAGGGGACGAACTTACCAGTCGGTTATCCTGTGTCAAGAGGACGGCGACTCCAGCGTCTACCTTGCCAACTGTCAAGGAGACCAGCATGTTGGAGGATAAGAAAAAGGAGTTAATCGATTATTGATGGCGCATAAAAGAAAGGTAAGGTTGAATAATGCGAAAGGGTTGGTTGATTGATATCTTGGGAGGGTCCGTAGTGCTACAACTGCTCTAGTCTGTTGTTGTCTTCTTGCTTCCAGACCCCGAGAAGATCGGCAAGTTAGCGAATGTGCCAAGGAGGCAGTGCCACGCGTTATATCTCCGAGTTCCTTATACTTATGTACATACTTATGGGGAGTGTCCTCCACTAGTATTCTTGTTTATTCAATCAAGGTTTATAACTAACTGTCAATTTATTCCAAGTAGCCCGCAATTAATGGACTTGCGCCACCACATCTGAAGCAATTATTGTTCCTCAATGCGCCTGGCGATGCGGATCAGATACAGTTGAACAACCAACAACATTACACGACCACGATATATATATATATATATATACATATATACACTCATTAGGTTAATTATTAGTACTATTGTTTCCCTGGGGATTCTTAATTGACACTTTGACACCCTCATTTCGCAGTGATTTTGGGTGATCTCCCATGTTCCTGTTCTGTATCAAGGAATCGACGAGAGAGTTCATATCCGCCTGGACCGTAGCATAATCTTCTTGGACACACTGCGGGCGGACCAGGATGTCGACAGATCCTACCAAATTATCACAATTTCCTTCTGATAGCGCGGCACTTTCATCAGAGCTTGGTCTTATCCTTCTGCCCTCAGTATCAAAGCCGCGCTCTTTCAATGCTCGCTGAAATGCTATCCGAACCCTCCGTGCACACCAAGACCGGACCACTCGCCTTTGCTGCTGCAGATGTTGTAAAGATACTCTCCACCATAATGTAGTCCGATCACGGGTGGCGTATAAATGTTGAATTTTGAACCGGATAGGATTGATGGGAGAAGCTAGGTACCGGGAAGCGATAGGAGATATGACATGCTTTGGGACATACCGCAGAGTGAACTGCTTTGTTGATGCGAGGAACTTCATGCCTAAGGTGACCAAGTAGTCAAGAACGAGCCTTGCTCTTGTGGCTAGGAAAGATGAAACTGGAACCTAGGGCACTGTCACCTTCCCTTCATTGTTTAGCAGAGGAAACCAGCAGTTCTAGCAAAGGTAGAAGGGAACGTGCAGGTATATGCGTCAGAAACCTTTCAAGAAATAAAATATCAAAGAGGTAAGACGTAGAAAAGACGTAGGTTCTTTCTTGGAATTGGATTCATCAATTTCGACCAAAATCGGACGATTACCATTTGTTTTTCTGCCAAAAGAAACATTAGAGGCGGTAACAGTAACCAGCTTTCATTGGCCAACCCCTGTAGCCGGCCTTAGGCATGACTCAGGCCGCCACGCCACCGGCCCCCCACCGATTATATATTCAGAAAAGCGTCGAAATTACTTCCCGCCCACTCGACACTTCCCCCACTTTCACAACTCTTGGTCCTTTGGGACACATACTATTTCCCCTTTTTTCATATCAGTCCATCTGATATTGCATCGAGTGGAAAGTTATCGCGGTTAGCGAATTTCCGTCATGCCCAAGAATAAGGGAAAGGTAAGAACAGGATTTTCTTGAAACAAGTCACCCCCGCCTTGTTAGACTTTTCTCTGCCTCTCCTGTGGCGGCTTTACTGGGTGCCATAACAACTCCCAAATCGCCACCCGTCGTACTTGGGAGGTGGCTTTTGGCTCCATGAATTGCCTTGGGATTTAGGAAGCTTTTATAATGGAATGTTTACACAGAGCACAGGCTAACAGTATCTGTACAGGGCGGTAAGAACCGTCGTCGTGGAAAGAACGAGAACGACAACGAGAAGCGTGAACTCGTGTTCAAGGAGGAAGGCCAAGAGTATGCCCAGGTTGTGAAGATGCTTGGTAACGGCCGTCTCGAGGCGCTGTGCTTCGACGGTGAGAAGCGTCTGGCGCACATCCGTGGCAAGCTCAGGAAGAAGGTCTGGATCAACCAGGGTGACATCATCCTTCTCTCTCTCCGTGATTACCAGGACGAAAAGGGCGACGTTATCATGAAGTACACCGCCGATGAGGCCAGAAGTCTTAAGGCCTACGGCGAGCTGCCCGAGCACGCCAAGATCAACGAGACCGATACCTACGGCCACGAAGGCTTCGAGGACAACGTCGAGTTCGACGAGGACCGCGAGAGCGAAGACGAGAAGGAGATTGATGTCGACGAGCTCTAAAACCCCTCATCCCTTCGGATTCAGCCCTGCGAGAGCTACTGGGGATCCTGTTCGCCAGCCCCTTTTTTCTCTTTCTCAAAGCCAAGCTACTTCCTTCCTAGGAAACCCGACAGGCTTCCTTCTGTGAAGGGTCTTTCTTGCGTTAGGCAGGAGCCTGACGGTTGGTTTTATCATTATGCCATCTGTTTCCTGGGAAGGAGACCAGAAAGGACTAGGGGCTGCTGCCTTCCCGCTTCGCTTGGGGACCTACCACTGCCCCAGTGCTCCTTTCAAAGTCAGGGTATGAATCATGGGTAGGAAATTCTTGGAATTCGACGTGATAAACTTGATTGGCTTTTTGGCCAAAGGTCATTTTTATCATGAGGGACAACCTCGGATTTCCACAGAGAATTGGTTGCGACGCATATCAAGAGACCGACTGTACTCAGCGTGTTTCGTGTTGGCAATTCTTTTGTCTGTTCCCTTTTGCTACTTCGTTCCTTCTAATTCAAAACTTGGATGATAGATTCATGACAAGGTTACGAGAATACAAAAAAGTCTGCACATACATAGGTTATGCTTTAAGTCCTATTTATAAACTCTATATGTAACACATTGACTAGCTCTTCAGTAGCTGGACTCGCAAGCTAGTAGACAGTAGATGCAGGTTAGCTTTCATCGAACACATTCTTCTGGAAGAAATTGACGATCTTGCGTGCGGCTTCTGTTCCCACAAGAGGGTCCAATTGCTCAACACCCATATTAGCGACCTCCGAGATATTTCCCGTCTCAAGAATAAGCCGTTCGAGGACACTCGGTGTCACGCCCGGAACGGCTCGGAGCATATCCTGAGGAAGGAGATTGAAGGTACGGTGCTCTATGCCAGCTGCAGCCATGACATTACCAGAGTCGGAGCCAGCTGCAATGTCCATGTCTAGTCCGATCTGAACTGCTCGGATAGGATCTGGCTCCGGGTTGTTCTTCTTGAGTTCCGCGAAGATCTCCGCAGTCTGGTAAGGAGAGGATGACCAAATAACCTTTAAGCGAGGAAATGCAAGAGTGAGAAGGACAAGGAGGTGTTGGGCGGACTTCGGGCTAGAGGGGTTAACGAGCGAATTGCTGGCGGACAAGGTTGTGGTCACAGTTCCGGAAGAAGAGAAACCATAATCTGTTAGGAAAGTCGTTCCTGGTGTCGTTGCGGATGCGAATGCATCGAAGGTAAACGACTTGTTCTGGTCAAACTCAATCAGAAGAAGTGGGTTCTTGTAATGCTGAAGCATCGTCTCTGCTTGGTTGTAGAGACGGCCATTCTTAAGGGAAGTGATCAAGTCACGAATCGATTTGCGTTCAACACAAATATCCGGGGTGAGGATATAGTCGCCCACTGTCAGCTGGCATGGGACAATGATCATATTATTACCGTGTAGTAGAGATGGAAGAGCGCTTCTAAATTCGCGTACGTCCACCACGACTCGAGGTGGTGACGCTGTTGCAGCTAGCCGCCCACCTCCAGCAATGCGTGTGTTGACAGTGCGCAGGAATTGTTCTTGAGGGTCTTCAAAACCCTTGTCGTGTGTGAGAGTGACAGCCATGTTCTGTGTGTATCACGTTAGACAATTTCACAGAAGTAGTTGCAAGTGATTATCTTACGCCTTTCTCTTTAATGAGCTTCGTGAATGAGTCTTTCTCGCGCCGGACTGCGCTAAGGTACCGCTGCTCTTCGACAGATCCTCCATAGTACATAAAGTACACTCGTACGTTCCGCCCAACATGAGAGCTGCGATAGACTTCCACTCGTCGGATGAACGCCGAATCGGGTTCATACATAATGATATACCGCGGCCGCACTTCTTCCAATATGTGCTCGTCCATGTCACCGTCGTAGGGGTGTATAACGGTTAAATCATCCATATCGTATAACTCATAGAAATCTTCCATATCCTCCAGATCGTCAATTATGACCTCCTCCTTCAGGACCTCCTCGACTTCCGTGGGTTGGATCTCTTCCAGTAAGTTTGAGAATTGGCCAGGCAATTCAACATCTGTCTGTACACTGCTATTCGGTACACGGCCAGAGGCAGATGAAACAGCACCTCCGCCACGGACTCGGCGTCGTTTGTTTGGAGGAGCTCGCCCTTGTTGAGCGGATGATCCAGGCGAGTCTTGGCTTTTCCCAGCCTGGGACTCGTCATTTGTTGGTTTCGAAGTTAAATTTTTTGTCACATTAGACAGAGATGTCTTCCAATTGAGATAATCCCGCAGTCTCCTACGCATCATGACCTGTGCAGAGCCCTTCCTAGTGATGTCACCAATATCTTTGTCGTCTTCATTTTCGTCATTGACATGGGCATGCATTGTCCCCAAATACTCCCGAAGCTGTCGGCAAGTTCGCTGGTCAGTACACATGATCAATACTGTGCTGTTTGACTCGTCCACATTGACTGGATTGAGATATGCATCACTTTCTATCTCCTCCAGCACTTCTGCCAGGACTTCCCACTTAGGTTGTTCTTCCAAAACGGGTTGAAGAGTAGTGGGGAATGAATTCATTGATGAGCGAGCCACGTCATTGCTTATCTTTCCTTGATATGCCCTAGACTTAGCAGTCTGGAACAGAACGTGAGCTGCATCAAGGAACAGCCATGGTGAATAGTTATGCCTTGTGGACCCAGGAGGAGGAGAGTGCGCAGTTACGATAGTATCCAGATATTTCACGAATGATACCGAATCGTACGTCAGCAACGCACTAGTGTTAAGTTAGAGGCTATACGATGCTTAACTGAATAGGGGTCATCACTGAACTTACTGGAGAATCGCCCTGAGATCGCTCAAGTCGCTAACAATCTGCCTGGTCCTGAACGTAACCCGGTGCCATATGGGGTCTAACTGCCGTCTGATCATGATGTCAAAGCTCCTGTGCAGAGCACTGTCCAAGGTCCAGTCTGTCATGTCCAGGCCAGTGTTGGCTTTCTTCAGTTCTCCGATGCATATTTCCACACATTCAAGGACTGCATTCTGCATTTCACGCATCTTGTCGCTCATGGGAACCTCAAGCTCAATGACCTCAGCTTTTCTGTGGCCTTCGAGGGACTCGGCAACAGTAACATGAAATCGCGGCCATAAAGAGGCTTTGCGAAGGAATAGATTACGCATAGAATTGGCTAAAGGTGCGAATCCTGTTGTGAATGGTTCAGGGGAGTCGGAAAATGCCTTTAGGAACCCACTTTTGTTGATTTGTCGGAATATTCGAATGATGAAAGCTTCGGTTGAAGTTGCCAGAATCCTGGACGGCAATGAATAAATATTTACGGGAAGTTTAGAGTAGGGCTCCTTACTTGTCAGCGTGAAGCACAACCATTCCCGTAATCTTTTCAGGATCGAGGAGCTCTGTAGAATCTAATGTCAGACGTTTGCTACCACATATAAAACTACGCCGTAGACATACTTGATAGTAGATCTACAACCAGTATCCTGGATGTTACACTCAGGATACCGCCTTCGGCATATATTCTTTCCCTCATGGAAACAGAGGCTCTCTCGGTGTTGACCACCTTGAGGCCTCTGGCAAAGGGAGTTTTGCTCATGGCATAGTGTTCTGCCAATGCTGTCTGGCTATTAGCGTCGGTATATCCTAATCGAGGCCCTTTGGATAAGCTGGGGAGTCCTTTGACATACCTTCGCCGATCCATTCATTCTCTCGATCATCAGCACCGACTACCAAGACCAGATTATTCCCTGCAGCATCATAAAAATGCAAGAGATTAGTCACTAAGCGTAATAGCCCAAGGCCCCGGGCAAGGATGACCAGTTCATCCTCGGTGCGCAGTTCGGTGAAGATGTCCTGCTGATATTGCTGGGTTTGATGCTGTCAGTGATACCAAAGCGACTTTCGGTGTATAAGTGTAATAAATCAGGGTACTTACTAAAGGCAAGGACAGCTTCACCGGGACATTTGTACGTTCCGGCGGCATGAGGAGCCTCTTAACGCGACGAAGACATGTCCTTGTCGCGCATGAGGAGCAAAGTGAACACGTAGTCACGTGTCTATGATGTAATTTAGCGTCTGAATAAAATCATGTATGTACTTCATTGCATTACTGGTATGCTGGTCAATGAATGTAGTAGTTCTACTCCGTGCTGGAGGATAATAATAGTTGGCATCGTCAAGAGCCGATGTCGTTTATTCTATGTACGACTACCACGACAATATTTGAGTCTGATAAATAATACATATGAAATTGCTACCTGTATCATTGTACAGAATCAGCCAGACCAGTGACAGTCCTACAAAACATTTCCGCTACACATCATGATTCATGATAATTAAATTTCCATCGTCGTCATCCGTTAGAGCTCTGGTTCATTTGTTCAGCTCTTTCTTGCGTGCTTCGATTTCTTCCCGGGAAGCTTTGGGTGGCATATCTGCAGGTTTCAGTTAATCTGCTAAGGATGTACAAAAGATATGCACAGTACTTACTGTCTGGAATGTGTGGCCCTTTAGAAAGATGGTCCTGAGCAGTGGCCTTCTGCGGTTCATTCTGGTTGGAGCTATTGCTGGCTGTTGATGGCAAATTGGTGGTGTCCGAAGGAAAGACCGGCATCTTGGAGTGGAGTGTAAGTAACCTAGTGGATAAACTTCTTTTGCAAAGCAGGGTGTAATAAGTAGCTAGGTAAGAAGAAGTTCTATGATTAATTTGTCTGATTGATGGTGCAGAGTTGTGTTTAGTTATGATTTAAATAGTAGGAGTAGTAGTTTGAAGAGGAAACGGGATGACGTCGACTGGAAAAATCAACCACCTGACATTGAATTTAATTAACGAAACGACAGTGACATACAGACTGTTCCAGAATTGATCTACTCTCAAATAAGATAGGTCCGGGAATAATTCGTGGTCATGGTTGTACACGGGTAAATACTGAAAAGAAAGGATTTGCGATTAAACAAATTACGAAACGCAATAGGTACATACAATCTCACCTCTTCTCTTTGTGGAGAGCGTTTCCACTCGACGCCATCTAGTCTGTAGAGATGAGCAATATTGTAGTCCAAGGAAATGAAGTAAGCATCCTCCGTACATACCTCGTGTTTGAATAGTAATGCCCTACATTCTCTCCAAGTTCCCCACTCGGGCCTTAAGTGGGACTGGAAATGGAGTTAGTGGCACTGTAGTAGAAACCTAGCGGTAGCCATTAGTGGTAGTGTGCCTCTCTCCCTCTTTCTGCTACTTGACCTCTTCTCTGACTTCCCCTCAAGGCTGATTTCTCCCAACAACCAACAATTCAACTACCCATAAGCATACACATTACTCGCCCACGGCCCCCATTCCTCCTCTCGAAGTCACCTACGATCAATCTTTCAAGTCTTGATCGAACACCCGGAGAAATTGCCCCTCCTCTCTAGCCGGAGTTTGTTCTAGGCCGCATCAGCGATTAGCCGTGCCTGAAAGTCGAGTGCACTTTTACACTTCTGCCTGGAGCAATTTTCACCGACTCCTGCAATGCGTTATCGAGAAGTTCCTTAAAAAACATTAACGGCGCTGCATACCCTCTAATTCCGTTTTCGGTATTCTCGAACTAGTTCTTCGTGGTCCGCCATGCCATCTATCCTCAGTGACGCCGACAAAGAAACCGTCAAGAGGACTGTCCCGAAACCGGCGAACAAGATTCAGGCTGTAGCTGTTGCGCGACTATATGTGGCCTACCCGGATCCTCAAAAATGGACATACACAGGTCTACAGGGTGCCGTCGTCCTGGCGAATGATTTAGTCGGGCGGACCTTTTGGTTGAAGCTGGTGGATGTATCGGTGGGTAACCATTCTTGTCTCGATGGCTCCTTGACCTTTTCCCAAATTGCTAATGATTCCGTTTACTCCGAGCCACAGCCCGCTGGACGAGGTGTTATCTGGGACCAGGAGATCTACGATAATTTCCCCTATAACCAAGACCGAACATTCTTTCACACGTTTGAGCTGGAAGAGTGTGCCGCTGGTTTATCCTTTGCTGATGAGAAGGAAGCTAAAACGTTCATCAAGAAAATGCAAGAGCGGGAGAAAAATGCGAGCAAAGAAACCCGGCAGACACCTTTTGCATCCACTCGTGGTCAAGGCCCCGCTCCCATAGCAAATGGTAAACATGGCGTAGGACGGTCGATTTTCGGTAGCCTGTTAGGCCATCGGTCAACATCGGGGTCAAATGCGCCTCCACCAGTAGCACATACAGAACCTCCTTCTGCGCCTTCCATTCAAGTCGCACCTCCCCCACCGAGCAGTCCCCCACGCAAGCCCTTGCCCTTCGACACCAGTGATCCGTCCTGGAAAGGTCTTCTGGACGAACTCTTGCAGATGGGAATTACGGAAGACCAGATCGCAGAGAATTCGGACTTTATCAAGGCATATATAGAGCAGAAACAAAGCAACGGGGTCGATTCTACTCCGTCTCCAGCTGAGGACAAAAGGGGCAAAGCTCCCCCTCCGCCTCCTCCATCGGCGCCTCCTGCTCCTAAGTCGACCTCTATAAGCCCGCAACATACAGGTAATAGTACGGGTAGTCGACGAGGCGCTCCGCCACCACCTCCACCGTCACGAAGAACTCGTGCTGAAGCAGAGGAAGAGTCGCCCGCATCCACTCGCGAACCATCTCCGCCCCGGCCCAGATTCCGAGCGCCGCCTCCAATTGCAGATGCTGGTAAATTTGCGCACACGAATGGGCCCCCTCTTCCCGGCCGACAGCGAGCGTCATCGGGCGCGACCCCTGGGCCCCCTCCCCCACCACGACCTCCAAAGACTCCCATGGATGACAGTCAACCCCGGTTTGGGGTGCCTCCGCCTTTCCAAGGGGAGCGAAAGGTGTCGGCTCCTCCAGCACCACCAAGCCGTAACACGGCGCCTCCAGGGCCACCACCACGGCCACCTCCCCGCACGTCAAGCCCTGCAGTACCGCCGCAGCTTCCTCCGAAAGTCCCTCATGCACCGGTCTCAACGCCAGCACCTCCACCACCACCCCCGAGAAGTCCGGCCAGCCAACCGCCTCCTCCTCCGCCTGTGCCAGCTGCTTCGCGGCCTACGCCTCCTCCACCTGCATCCAGTGCGGTGCCCCCTCCACCACCACCACCGCCGCCTTCATCAAGCGGTCCTCCGCCACCGCACCCTTCATCAAGCCCAAGTCCTTCTGTGCCCCCTCCACCTCCCCCTCCATCAAGCAGAGGCCCTCCAGCTCCTCCACCGCCACCCCCATCGGCGGGCAGTGCACCACCACCGCCGCCGCCGCCACCCCCACCCCCATCTTCGAGCATCCCTCCGCCTCCCCCTCCACCCGGCAGAGGCCCCTCAGTCCCCCCTCCCCCTCCACCCCCAGCGCCAGCTGGTGGAGCTCCCCCGCCACCACCGCCACCTCCTGGAGCTGGTGCTCCTCCTCCTCCTCCTCCTCCTCCTCCCCCTGCTGGTGGAGCAGCTCCACCTTTGCCCACACCCTCTGGTGGAAGAGACGGCCTTATGGCTGCCATTAGGGCATCCGGAGGCAAGGGTGGCGGAGGCTTGAGGAAAGTCAAAGACGCCGACAAGAAGGATCGCAGTGCGGCGATGGTTCCTGGGTCTGCCAACGAATCATCCGCAGCTTCAGCAGGGGGTGGTGCCGCCCAGGGTGGTATGGCGGGCGCTCTTAAAGCCGCTCTGGACAAGAGAAAGCAGAAAGTTAGCGGTAGTGGTAAGTTCATTATTTGCCCATTGAGTGGTGGCGCGTACTAATCTAGCGTACAGATGACGAAAAGGAGGACGACGATGATTGGTAAACTCGGTGGCCACTTCTCAATTTTTGCTTCATGTGTTGCTGTGGGTTAGACCGGTCTAGTTTCGCTTGATACCTACATATTGCAGCGTTCTTCGTTTCAATATTCAGCATTATTCTTCAACTCAGCAGGTGTCGGTTGGATTTTTTTTTCCCCTGCAAAGGCTCCTTCATGTAACAAAAGTAATGTCTTACAATAGTTTGGGATGATCCGACGAGCAAAAAACTAACTCCCTACTGAAGTAGAAGTAGCATAAATGTTTCTTGTAGTTGGCGATATAGTTGCGGAACATCATTGACCCGAGATGGTCCGCGCGGCGTAACTCCATGTAGGAAAAAAAAGAGGGCTGAGCAATACTACGGATTAAAGAGGGAGAACGAGACGGTAGTACGGTAGTACTTCGATGGTGGCTTGTTGATCTAGACAAGTCCGAAATGCTATCCCCTCCACCTTTGAAACCGGCAGTTCCCTCAGCGTCGCTACTCCGATACCTGCGCTCCCAGTCAGAGAATACCAATGTCTTCACATCGGCATGCAGAACCTCACGAAAGTCGCAAGTTCATAACCAGCCATCCCGTATGCTCGCATTGAGAAATACATCTAGCTGGGCATATATTACGCCGCTACGATGTCGCGCCACGTTAGAGACAAACTTCCTTCCCGTTTCAACCATTTCTAGAAGCCGTGGTCCATCGCGATGTCGAGCTTCGCTGGATCAATCTCCGTCCCCCATCACCGTGTTTTCCCGGGCTACGCACACCAAGAGCCGCCCATTACTTCGCAGACTATTTGATCTACGAC